AACTAAAGCTTCCATGTTTGGAGTATTCCGTCGCTTGAGCGTTCCAATACTAAAACGCCTTTATTGAAGCCAGACATCCACTTACTACTATTAGGTAAGACGTCTCCGACAACACGGTACTTCATGCTGCGCTGGACAACAAGGATGCTTGAGCTGTGCTTGAGCTCATTTTACTTCAAACTCCGACGGAACTTTACAAGACCAGCGTGAATAATACATCAGTCCTCAGCTGGGCGATTATGCTCCATTCCATCGATGCCGTTCTCCCCCTTCTGAAGCAGAGTGTTATATCCCTATCCTCGAATTCTCCTCACCTGCCGCCACTGTACATCGCAGCTTCTAGACAGGATCTCGAGATGGCGCTGCTGCGCATTGAACGCAGTACCCATCCAAACGCCGGCTGAGGAGCACTAGAAGGGACCGCGTTGCACGTTGCAGTGGAGTGTCTTAGATCCGATCTATTCGACCATAAAGCCATTCAGGCCCTCTGTTCAATCTGGGAACATGGTGGGGATGTGGAGGCGCCGAATCTATACGGAGTGACACCTCCGAGCATGATGAATCACTTGGTCACTAGGGATTGGCGATGCGCGAGTTATTGTGTCTGAGATCAGAAAACATGAATATTGACTATACTACCCCTTTGTATCTTTGCTTTTGCTATTTGACATTCAGTGTTTAATATTATAAGGCCAACCCTAACCGGTGGTTTTCATGGCTCTCTTACTCCACAGATATACTGATATGTTAGCGCAATATAATCTAGAATTCCATATGAACGACGATAGCGTTCACTGAATTACAATAGCACCATCCATACAATAGCAGATAAATTCAGATAGCCATCAAACCATGACTCTCGGTGCCAAGACGAACAATCTCCAACAATAGGACCAAAGCAGCCCGTCGGACTTGGCAATGCTCCAAAGACTCTAGATTTGAGGACCTTCGGGGCGTCGTGGATTCGAGATTTTTGGCCATGCATCTCCCACTCTTTTATTTTCATTTTTATTTTTATTTTTTCGTATGATAGAGAACCTGCATCTCTAGGATACAATGCGTCATATTGTATTATTTTTGTATTTTCTCTGCCTTGCATGGGCAAAGGATATAAGTCCCCAGTACGATGCCGAATTAGACGTAATATCCTCCCACCCATTGGCGCAATCCCATTTAACTAATTGATCGCAGAAAATAACACACGTCTTCGTGACAAACATCACCCTGATAGACTCGATTGAGTCACGTCAGCAAGAAGAATATGCGCGACTACAGAGCCGCCTTCAACGCCCCGTCGCATCAGGGGATACATCACATCCTCGACAGAGATTGCTCACAGCTCTCCATGCCTTCCAGCGCTACAAGGAGCGCAATCTAGTCGAGACGAAGCGATGGCGGGATTGGTATAAGAAAATCCCTAAGAAACAGCGCTCGGTATGCGCTCCCGTGAAACACATTGTTTTTCATACTAACGACGTTGTAGATCGTTGAGTCCACGGTGAAATATACCCGTAAATTAAACACAGTGGACCACCTTTTTGAAACAAACGAGAAATTAGCACATGAGATCGTCAAGCATGGGATGCAATTCTATAACATTTCCCAAGCCGAATTGGACAAGTTCATCAAGGAGAACGAAAAGCAGGGTGTCAATACCGACAAAACGAGTGTCTCGCAGGCGATGAAGCACTTCGTGCGCGATTGGGCTGATGAAGGGTACGACGAGAGACAGGACGCATTCCCGTGCGTTCTGGGTACTCTTGCGAACATGTCAAGAACTCCCGCGCAACCGTTGCGGGTGTTACTGCCCGGAGCAGGACTGGGACGATTGGCAAATGAGGTCAATGCATTAGGTGGTTAGTTTTGCTTCAGCTACGACTAAAGCTCATCGAGAGGGACTAATCAAGGCAGGCTTCGAGGTGACCATGAACGAATGGTCCATGTACATGAACCTCGCGTATCGATATCTATCCAGCCTGTCGAGCGCCAACAGCAAGGCTTTCCATCCGTACGTCGACTGGTGGTCGCACCAGGCAACAACCAGTGATCTGCAGCGTTCCGTCTCGTTTCCGGATTCATTGGCTAGTCCCTCAGTCCTCCTGGTCGAAGGCGACTTTACTACAGTATTTGCAGAAGAGACGGGGAAGTATGACGTGATAGTCACGCTGTTCTTCATCGATACTGCGCGGAACTTGGTTTCTTATTTTGAGAATATCCATCGCTTACTCCGCCCTGGGGGTCAGTGGATCAACCTGGGTCCATTGTTATACGGAAGTGCGCCCTTTTTGCAGCTGTCGCTGGATGAGATCGTGGCTTTATCCGAACACATTGGGTTTAAGTTCCCGGAGACGGACGCATCTTGCGGGGATATAACAATCCCTGGGATGACAGTTCGTGGCAAGGAAGTAGCCTACGCCCAGAATGGGAAGGGCCTGAGCAGGAATGCATACCAGGCACAGTTTTGGGTCGCCCAGAAAAATTAAATGTAGGGTCTTTAGCCCAACCGAAGGAAAATACATGACTTGAGCACGCCTCGAGAGTGGAAGTTTTGTTGCTGGGAAGATCCATCTCATGTCAACAAACTTCCAGGAAAGTACCGAACAATTCATGGAAGGATCCAACTACCGGACAGGAAATACAGAACCATTATAAGAATGAGACCAAAGCTCCTCATCAGGATGCTGTTCCAAGATGATGGGCCAGATTTCGCATCCGATGCGATGACTGGGAGGACAAGCAGCCCATGCACCCAATGGTCGACACCTGGAAGAAGCCTCAAAGATGTGGAAATCCCCTCGATGTCTTGTGCTTTCTTTGTCAGGCAGTCATCAGCGGGACTGGGCTGTTTCAGATATTTTGGTAGGCTATCCGAGTGTATTCTAGACAAAGGTACTAAAATAATCAATGAAACGGAGACCTATCGACCCACCTAGGAGGTCTCCAATCATGCGATTCTCAGCGAGTTGCCCTAGCGTGGTATATTCCTGGTGATACTTGATGAATGTAATTCTGTATTGACTTCGTCGCTCAGTGGTTTGAACTGGCTAAGGCGCGTATAGAATGATCCCACCATGGGTTGCATAGAAAAAGACTACAAAATTGTTAATTACACACTAAGACCGACTACAGGTAGCGCTGGGCCTGCACGCGTTGCAGAACAAGGCATCTCAAGCCAGAAGACTGGGTGGCGTGGCTACGTTCATGGAATTGCCACAGGATAGGATATTTCCATGCCTCCCTGCATGCCAGGGCTCATTCAAGGTGAGGCCGTGACGGGGTTGTAATGCATGAATCATGGCTCATACCGGTCTAACCTACCCTTGATACGATATCATGCTATTAGCGCTAGGCTATTCTTACTCACCTGTGGACATCTAGTTAGATCGGCCCATCTGCAAGTGCAAGTTCCACTTCAGTGAGGTATTTCGCGTGACATAATGGCAAGTGCAACGCTGATGAGACCAAAATGGCGGAATGATATTTTTCGAATCCATATTCTACTTCTGTCCCCCCGTATAGTACATTAGGCACATCGTAGTGTGCCGCCAACTTCAATGCGCATACAGGCAACTGGTAATTTTCATGCAGGCAAAAGCCGGCCAATACGCAAGACAGTCGCCAGGCGCTGCGCTCTACTCCGCGGTCGAATTGAATCGGCGACGCCAAAGTTGGTTATAAGACCCCTTCCTCATTCCATATACCCGCCCAGCCAGCACTTCTTCCATTACTCTAGAATTGAGAACCTTCATATTCCAATATATATTCCACCGGAGTCATTCCTTGCTTCACAATGCCAAGATCCGAAACTATTGAAAAATTCACCGATACTCTTGAGGTACTGAGACATGCTGTTAAGGCGGCCAACCATCTTTTCGAGGCTGGTGAATGTGCCCATAAAGGCTACCGCAGCTGTCAGAATACCAAACGAAAATCTAGCCAACATGAGAAGCATAACGACGAGACACATGGGCGCGAATATAGATCATATAACCCTCGTCTCAAAAGATCCTACCTGCTCGTTCCATATAAAATGCATCAAGCAAGGCGCTATGATCGAAGAGAAGCAATGGATATCGTGCTTGGTGCACTTAAGGGACACACTGCACGCATGATAGATGGCAAGGAGGCCTTTAGTGTGAACCCTACTTCTTTGGATAGCGGCTACATTCTGATCGAAGCCGAAAGGGATGATACTGATGCTAGAAGTTCAAGATCGGTATGGGAGGATTTGAGCAAGGAAAGTCGTGGACATCTCAAATTTGAATTTCGCGAATTACGACGTGATCGAAGGGGATATTATTATTTTTACAAGCGGGCTAAGGATTTGCGAGCCCAGAAGGGGAGGAAGCACAATATCACTGAGGAACGTTGATGACTGGGCCAGATTCTTCCAATCCGCAGCCAGCTATGCATATTGCTTTGTTACTGTTTGAATGTATTGGTATGCACCAGGTTTGCCAACGTGCGAACCATGTGTCTACTTTGTTTACTTTGTGCGTGTGCTTAACACTCTTATCAAGGACTTGAGAAAGATGAGAGATCAAGAGGGCCACTAAGGTGAGGCAGACCAAAGCGCACAGCTATACTGCTGCTAGACTCTTACTTTGTGTCCTATGAACAGATTCTATGCAGGCATGCTTTCTTTGACAAATTGAAATCAATATAGCGTTAATGGTTTATCATTGAGTAGCGTTAAAGTAACTAAGGACAACCAAATAGAAAATACCCTATTAACCCACATGCACCCTATACAACCGTGCGAGCCGTGTATCTGCAGCCAGTAACTCCGCTGGAGGCCCAATCTCTACCAGCGCTCCGCCATCCAAAACCGCCACTCGATCGTAGGCCCTGATATGCGTCAACGTATGCATCACTGCCAGAACGGTGCATCCCCGGAACTCCGAGTCAATAATACTCTGTATGAGAGCCTCTGTCTCACTATCCAGACTACGCAACATATCAGCCAAGGTTCGCTTAAAACAGAACAACCCTCATCCCACTCACCTACTCGTCGCCTCATCCAGAACAAGAATACTGCAGTGCCGGCGCCGGACAATTGCCCGCGCAAAGCAGAACAATTGTTGCTGCCCTGCCGATAATGGCAAGGTATCCACAATCGTGTCCAGACCCCCTTGCGCATGCACCAGTTCCCACAGCCCTACTCGGTGCAACGCATCCACGAGTTCTGCCTCGGACTGTGCCTCGGAGTACAGATCGAGATTGAACCGCACACTTGTGCCTTTCAGGAGAAACGGGTCCTGCGGGACCACGTTGAGGCATCGGCGGAAAGCATCCGCCTCCTGCGCGGCGAATGCGCCAGCAGCAACAGCCACCTGGCCCTCTACTAGGATCTGGCCCTCAAGCACCTCAACCATGCGTAGTAAGGCCAGCAGCAGCGATGTCTTGCCGCTCCCTGATCGGCCACAGATAGCAACGTGCTCGCCTGGCTGAACTGAGAGGGTGATGGCTTTGAGGACTGCACCGGCAGTGGAAAGACTGACACATCCGTGCCAGCTACATTAGCGGGTTCATTGTTGATCACAACGGAATGAAAGGAACACATACCTGGAGGAACCCGGGGCTGTAAACCCCGCCACCACGCCCTCAAATTCCACAGCACCAGGCCGTGACCACGGAGCTATTGTTCCATCCGCAGTCTTCGGTTCCTGCTCTGCATCCTCGGTCTCCGTCTCCGTCACGAAGCGTCGCACGCGCGTCACGGCACCGACACTCGACTCTAGTCGGGTCCATGTGCGGATCAACCGGGTCAGCGTCTCGCCCAGGCCGGTGAGAATGACTAGCGCGACACCCACGCCGCCGACGCGGATGTCCAGCTGGCGGCGCCAGGCTATCACGGTCCCAACAAGAATTACCACTAGGGCGGCCATCAGGACGTTGAGCGCGAAGGTTAGCCAGTGTTGGATGCAGCTCTGTAGGTAGGCTGGTCGCTGCGAACAGTCCGCTAGGCGGGCGACACGGCGCTGGTAGTCATGGGTCCAGCCAAAGGCACGGATAGTGGTTCCCCCGGACCGGGATGTTGACTCGGTGGCGGTGAAATGGGTGTATAGTGGAGCTTTGGCTTCGATCATTAGGAGACGCATCTGTCGGGAAGTTTGGAGGTAGAAGCGCTGTAGCACGTAGAGCAGGGCAAAGACGATCGGGATGGCAATGGCAAGGGAGCGGGAGAAGATCGCTAAGATTATCACTTGGGCAAGGCAAGATATAGTCGCTTTGATGATCGTCAGTAGTCTAGAAAGGGACACATTGTTGGGAGAGGGTAGAATACTTGACGTGTAGTTCAGGGCGGTCGATGGGAGATCCATGTCTATGAGCTCCATGTCCTCGCTAAACCTAACTGCAGGTATGAACACTTCTCATGTTCACTGTATCGGGAGATGGTGAGCAGGGGAAATTACCTGTTGAGAAGTTCACCGTTATCGGTGCTTGTGAAGAAGCGAAACGGTGCCCTACATGTCGCGCTCAGCCATCAACATCTTCTTCATACTTGGAATGTAGGAATCACATACTTAAGGGTAGCGGCCAGCAGATCCAAATGAATGCTGGTTGCCGAGTTGCTCACGATAGAAACGAAAGCAACCCTGCCCGAGAATCAGCAACCACGACTCCCCGTAGGAAGCTGAAAGTACTCACCACGCAGCGAGACAAGCAGCAAGTGTCCCTAGAACCCCCATCGTGGCATAGACGCCCATGTACATACCTACCTTCTCATTTGGATGTGTTTCATTGGCCTCTGACCACCAACTAACCCATATCACTTTCAGGCGGATTAGTTCGTATGCCAAGTTGAGCGTATTCATTTGACAAGCACCGCGTCGCGCACTCACCTGAGAACTCGATAAAGAAGATCCATAGGACCATGAACAGAGTATAAAGCCCGACAGCCGCATAGCCCGAGCTGGTGAGATAATACCCATAAACTGACAGATCTCCATTCTTTCGCCTGAGGTCGGTTGGTGCGTTGCTCGTCGGATCTTCAATTAGGGCGGCATTCATATCGCCCTCCCTGGATATTGCGGAAGTCAGGCCAGCTGTGGGCGAAACCTCTTTCGCAGTCAACGCATTGTCTGTTTCAATTGGCATTTTGTCCCACGAGCCGGTCATGCAAAGACCAAGCTCTTTGACATAGCCCTTGTCTTTTTGAGCCAAAGAGGAAGGCTTCCCAGCGTCTACAACTCTACCTTCTTTAAGGACGATGATCTTGTCTGCCAGCATCATGATTCTAGCTACATTACCCCATTCCATATCAGTACAGGGGTATTCGAAAGCAAAATAATAGAAAGAAGAGGAATCACGCACAATTATTAGTAGTCAACACAACGGTAGTGTTACCATTGCGCAAAATCCCAGTGTCTCGTCCGAGCAGCCTGCGCGACACGCTTTGGGCCGTGTGCATGTCTATACCGCTAAACACATCATCCAGCAGCAAGATGCTTCGCTTGGAATAGACAGCCCGAGCCAAAGCCTTTGTGATCATAACCTGGTTAGCAAAGCGACTAATAAGCACCAAGAAGACTCCATTTCCAGCCACTCACGATCCGCTGTTTCTGTCCCCCGCTCAATTTCACGCCATCGCTTCCCACGCGAGTGAAATCCCCTTTCTCCAGCTGCGCTAGGTCGGTCTCCAGAGCACAAGCCGACAATACACAATGATACCACTTCAAATCCCACGGCGACGACCCTCGGATATTCTCGCGGATGGTGTGGTTCTCTAGCCACGGGTGTTGGGCACAGTAGGCCATGGCCTCGCGTGCTCGGGGATCTACCTTGTCCTGCCTCGGTGATCCATGCTCTAACGGAATATCAACCAGCTCCCCTAGTAGGGCGTGTAAGAGACTGGACTTCCCGCTTCCGACTGGTCCAACAATTGCGGTTATACTGCCCCGCTTGATGGTGATTTGGAGGTCATGGAGGACCGGGTCAGCGCTGGAGCGGTTCCAAGCAAACCCATGGCCATCCAGGCGAAGATCTGGGTGGACGACGGAATGAGAATGCAATCCGCCCTTTGGGAGAGTTCCCAGCGCCAGAGACTCAAGGGTTGTCTCTTGCTCTGAATTTGAACAAGGCGTCGGGGGCCCTTCGCCATCATTGGGGATATTTGTCGTCTGGGCAGAGTAATTGCAATATTCTTGAATGCGATCAAAATTACCAACACACTGGAATACCACCGGCATCGTTTGGATGAAAACGATCACTGGGGTCGTCAGCAAAGAGATCAATGACAGGGAGGTAAAGGCCTGCGCCAAAAGAAGGGTTTGGCTTTTCCAGAACACCGCGATGATGGTGTAAATGCCAAACGTCAATACAGGTGCCAGGTTGATCGGTGTCAAGGCTGCAGTAGGGGAGTTAGCCCTGGAAAATACGGTAAGGGTTGGTTCATAGCCCGGGGACTTACACAGTAACAGCATGGCGACGAGAAGCTTTCGGTATGAGCGCGAGGTCTCGATCTCCCGACTCCGAAAGCCTTGGATCACTGGCAGCAGGACTCCAGAAAGCCCCAACATCTTCACAGCTTTCATGTCGCCGAGCATAGCGGAGGTAACGCGAAGCCGTTCCTGGACCTTCTCAATCCATCTTCGTTGGGCGGTATTCATTGAAAACGACAACTTCGAACTGCCCGCCACAAATACTAATACACCTCTGTATCAGAACAAGAAGTAGTGTGTCTGTGAAAGACAATTGAAGAGACTCACGAAGTACCAGGATTACGGGGGCAATGCAGGCTACGGAGAGCTGCCGACCGAGTAGCCAGCACGCAATCCCAATTTCGACTAATGCGCCCCATGTTTCATGGAAGAGCTCCAGGCCATTCACTATGCGCTCCACATCCGTGCCCATCAGAGAAACGGCGGTGATGTCGCCTGAATCAGCCACTCGTGTTTGGAGAGTGTGATGATAAATGGTTGTGATCAGGGCACCTCGCACTCGCGTGGCGAATCTGAAATTCTGATACTGGTAGATTGAATTAGAGGCCTGTTGTGGTTAGCTATTTCTTTGGATATGGCTGTTAGCGCGGCATGCAACTGCCTTCAGGCTGGACAATCCCCCTTACTGCTATCCCGAGATACACGAGTGCCCAGGCACCAATGAGTCCTCTGTTCTCATCCGTACCGGGCTGTGACAGATCAATAGCTTGTAGCGTGGTGTTGATTAGGAAGGGCTGTGTGAAGGTGAACGCGATCACGCAAAGACGGGGTATAATGGGAGATAGAAATGATGCTAGGCTAGCATAAAAGCATGCACGAAGCAGGCTATGTGGCTCTTGGTGATTGTCTGGATCGCCCAAAGATATTAGCCTATACAGGTATGGAGTGTGCTGTATGGGCTTACATCTATTCCATGCTTTTATGAGCCTCTCATACATAGCCTGGCTTTCCAGCGTCGTGTCAAGCGGTGGCAGATCATCCAGCGTGAGGACCTGCGCATAGCCGGTTCGGAATGTGGAAGCCAGCCATGTAAAGCAAGTCCGGGGCCAGATTCCACTATGCTGCTCCGGGGAACCGGCTTTCAGTCTCTTTGCTTTTGTCTCCACCGACTCGAATGCCAGTGATACCAGAAACAAAGAAAGAACGATGCTCATAGCGCTGGCTGCTCTCACGTTGCCGACATTACGTGGTAGCAGCCAGAGTGTGCGCGTTCGAGCGGCATTGAGTAGAATTGAGACAGATAAAAATAAATTTAGGATTGTGGAGGGCCGTTGAGAGCGCTGGTGGCTGAGGAAGGATAGCACAACCGCTGCCAATGTCGCCATAGCGCCGAGCACATCGGCTGCAATAGATCCTTCTGTTTTGACGGCCTGGCTTCGAACCCGAAAGGCAAGAAATACCAATTGTGCTATGAATATCCCTGCCAGGGTCAACTGCACGGACAGTTCCATGTAAGTTTCAACATAGTGGTCCTACAGAGGTGTGGAGGGACACGGACCAGCTTGCTGCGCAGGAGCGTAGCATTCAGGCGGTATAGGACGGGTTTCCGTAGTAGTAGAGCGATATGCATACATGAAAGGAGGACAAAAAGACCGGCTGGCAAGCATGCGAGAAACAGATCTTCAAATGCAATGGTGAAATCAAAGGATCGACAATCTGCGTTGACCCGAGGCCCAAAGGACCGGTCACTCCCTGTTGAACAGACCATTCCGTGGTGTGTGAGTGCTTGGGACCTTTTATGCTTTCAGTCGGTGACAGAGCAGAATAAATATGTCGTGCGTGCGACACGTACTGATTGATGCCTAGAGATAATATAGATCATGGCGAATGGTTCGAGCCTATGGCGACAGTTTTTAGCGTCCTTTACGCATGCATGCTTGATGTTAGCCGGGCCTTAGCGATAAATAATGTAAATAACCCTGGTATAGTAGCAGCTTCTCATTTGTTAGACAGATTAAACCCTGCCTACTTGCACAATGAATCCCCTTTAGATATACAAGGGAAAGAAATAATAACAGTGAGTATCTAACACGGTAGCACCTGAATGGCGTCCACTGTTCAGTAGGCGACTTACCTAGACTAGAGTACATATAATTTTATCTCGGCTCCTTCCCCTGTGATCACAATCGATAGCACAGATATGGCTTGCAGTAAGCTAGTATCCGATCGCACACAGATACTTCTCGTTGTGGCTGATAATGCAATAGGACATCATTAGGGTATGGTCCTCTTAGGCCATTTATGCATTATTTACTTACCAGGATTAAGGATGTCCGACGGAGGAGCGAGGACGTGCACAGCCTACCACTCCGGTAGACTATAATGCTTAGTATTATACTACTTTTCCAAGGATTAGACTAGCCAAGGATTAACGTTCTAATTCATATCCCACCCACCGCAGTAAGCTACTAGGTAATATATAAGTTTTGCGGTTCCTAAGAAAACCTTCGAACTTCCAAGCATCTTATCCTCCGGTTACCATTACCGATCATAAAAGGGTTTAATGCAATAATCTAGATATATCTAGACCCCCAAAAGGAACATCTATTCTAGAAAAAAAAAAAAGGATTCCCGCAATATTTGTCTCTCTGATGAGGGAGGGATGTATAGATAGGATCATTAGATGGTATAGAAGAAGCTAAATACAATAGCTCTTTATTTGGAATTATCTAAAATAAATAGGAGAATACTTTTATAATACGAGAGCACTCCTATCTAACTACTCAGTACATCATAGCCGAAGTACATGAAAATCTTGAGCTGTGGTTATAGGTTGATCATATCTTATCCGCATGCTCATATACAAGGTGATTACCTCCCCATATCGCACCTTGCGTGAGTCTATTTGACTCTTGACTATGCTGGTGCCCCACTCAGATATTAAACAAACAATCTATATGCTCTCCTGTTTTCGTTGCTCATCATAGTGATCATACTTGAGGGGTACGGTGCGGTCATTCGGACGCTCTCAGCGCTGTGTTGGATATCAATAAATACAGCGATACTTTTATGTATACCAGAGATCGCAGAATTCCTAGATACGTCCACTAGAATGTAAACGATCTATTATACAAGAAAAACTAAGGAGCGACTAAAGTGAGTGTAAAATCGAATCCACATATCTATCCAACCAATCTACAGCATAATCATAAAGAATGCAGCGCACAGAGCAGTCACAATGTACGCGCCCAGCTGAACAGATCCAACAACCACCATAGTGCTACCGGTGGTAGGGGCCAAACCAGACGAGGTGGAAGAAGAGGCAGACGAGCCCGAGGTACCAGTGGGCTGGGAAGTGACAGTACCAGTACCGGCAGTACCAGCCTGGCTCATCAAGCTGGAGCAAGTGCCGGTGGCCTTAGTGGTCGAAGTCACGGTAGCCGAGCCACCGAAGCTACAAGCCGATGCGGCAGAGTTCTGCTCGGTGTAGTACTTGTTGAGGAGGAAGTTGAGCTGCTGCTTGGGGCTGCACATGCCGTAGGCGCCGTAGACTCCGGTGGTGCCATTGCGGGACACTCCCGTGCATGTAGTGTACCCGCAGACCAGAGAGAACAGGTCGGCATAGTCATCACTAGAAACGGAGTCCTTCACGACACAAGCGGCGGCGTCAGACATGCAGTCACACAGGTTCTCGTTCGGGGTAGGAGGCAAGGGGGTCTGGGTGGCTCTCCAGGCACTGTTGACCGTGGGGCAGCTCTGCAGGGCAGTGTTGGTAGGGGTATAGGAGGCCTTGTTCACACCAGAGGGGGTGGCGCTGGCGATGTGCTTCGAGTAGGAGGTGAAGTCGGCAAGCTTGCTGACGCTGGTGCTGTCGACGATGGAAACGAGACCTATTCAGACGGAGTTAGCGACCCTGAGCTTGGTTCTGGTTGGAAAAGCTTACCGTAATTGTTGGTTTCTTGGAAGTACATGTAAACAATACCACCGGACCACACGCCATTCATCTTGTCACCAAACAGGGCATCGACTTCGGTGAACTGACGGGGCTGGACCTCGTTACATCCATACTCAGCGAAGAAGACGGGGACAGAGTAGTTGGCGAACTCTTCTGTGCGGTCCTTGTAGCCAGAGGCCGAGTACGATGAGTCACCGCACCAGGAGTAGATGTTATAACCCCAGAAGTCGATGCTGTCCTCTTCGCTTTCACAGTTGAAATAGTTGGCCATGTGCACACGGATAGTAGAGTCATCATTGGTCGCGTATCCAACACCCATGGTGCGGTAGCCCTTCTCCTTGATATAGGATTTCATGTCACGAACAGCCGCCTTGACAAACGCGCTAGCATCCGTCGTGGCGACGGTGTTGGAGACTTCGTTACCCGCAAAGAAACCCAGGGTGTTGTTATACTGAGCCATCTCGTCGATGACCGCTGTGTAGCGAGAGTAAAGAGTAGTTTCCCAGGTGGGATCGCTCCGGTCGATGGACTGGGTGGGATCGGACAGGTCTGAGACCACGTAGATGCCTGCATCGGCCAGCAACTGCATGCATACGGTGTGGTTGGCAGTCGGGTCGATGGCATAGACCCGAATGGTGTTGGTGTTCAGTTCCTGCATAATGGGCACGTCACGCTTGCAAGCAGTAGCATCGGCCAAGGGATCCTTGTAGCTGCTGGAGCCATTGGTGGTGCCGTTGCTGGAGTAGTCCTCTGCGAGGGTTAGTCGCCGGTAGTGCAAAGAAAGCTTCCGAGAGACCTACGTTGATAGGCAACACCACGCATGTAGCTGACATGGTTAGCTGAGAATATAAGATGGACCCAGGGTGAAGGCCGGAGACTTACAACTGGGTATTGTTACTGGAGTAGAAGAATTTAGAACCCTTAATGATGATGGGGTCGACATCGGCCACAGCGGTGCCCAACAGGGCCGCTCCCACTGCCCAGGAAAGCTTCATCGTAGTGTAGAACCGGACAAGAGTTTATATTAGGCCAAGTAATGAGACAAGGATGGTATATAGCGAACGTCAGGAAGGTATAGATACGAAAAGAGAGACTGGCAACAACAACGCTTCAAACAGTCAGGAAAGAAAAGGACAGCTGCCCCTGTTAAATTCTCGCCGCAGACTCTGCAATCTGGTATTAATAGCAACGTCTCATTATGCTTTATCCGCCGTCGACAAACCAGGAGGACCTGCCCCGCTATACAGCATCGAACGCGTCAGCCACGGCGTCGCTTTGAATTGTATAGTTCGGTCTATACCTCAAAAGCTTAGCTCGCCATTAACGTCGTGGACATGGAGCACCGGATCTTCACCGTCGCTCGTAGATTGGACAGAGCGACGGAGTGGGACGACGATGCTAACTGCCGGCGCATCACTAGATAGTGCGGATGTGGATGCCGAGTGGGTTGGCCTTATCTCCGAGCAGAGAATTTAAATTCTTACCCGTCGGATTTCATGCCCTGTGGAGATCGTCTGAATCCCCAAAACATGCTTTCGAGTGAGCTTCAATGGCTGCCTAGAATCATTTAATTAGTCTTTAATACTTTAAGTCGATGAAGCACAAGACCCATTGGTCCGATGTTTCAGATCCTCAGTCACTAGAAAGAATATAATATTCACACGGCCCCAGTCATAATATACATACTCAGACAATCGCTCAATTAACCATTCCCATCAGATCATAAAAAAGAATAAAAATAAAAATAAAAAAAACCCAAGCTATTCCCAAAAGAACACCATATCCCAGTCCCAGTTTCACTTATCACATGGCATTCTCTCGTCGACGAGCTTCAATGGCCGCCTCAAAGCCACGGATGGTATCGAGTGGTCGTTCCAGTCGGGGGCGAGTCGGGTTGGAGCGATCCGGGTCGGCTAGAGAGCGAGGTTAGCCATGGAACAAGGATTAGGGCTGCCGCGCATACGTACCGATAATATCGCCTTTCGCATCGCGATGCTGCATGGATCGCAAAGAGAATAAGGATGTACCACCGATGGCATTGGCAACTAACTGAGGTTAGCCGCGAGTTCGCCACAACACATTGGGGCAAATCATGTACATACTCGGCTGGTCTTCTCTGAGGGCGGCATTGGGGTCGGCTTTACTAGAGAGGGATTTCTTGTAACTGTGGGAGGAGACCGATTCGGTCCGTTCACTTGCAGCGCTGGATGCCATGGTGTGTGACTTGACAAGTACTCGATGGAAATTTTTAACTCTTGGAGTAGAGTGAGTGAAAGGTATGCAGGTATGTTCAGACTTATATAGATAAATCGATCGGCCGTGTGGGGATTCAGGAAGTTATCGGATGTACTCTAAGAGTCGCAGCCAAGTGTCTTCACTGACAGTTCCAAATCTAATGATGGATTGAGTTCCGTCTAGACCCCTGACAGTCCTTTGGGTCGCTTAAATCGGCCGTGCCCTTTTTTCGCTTTCTTTTTTATTTCTTTATTTGGCGTATTTGGATTATTTTAGAACCAAAATCACGCAACGGCCACCAATGGCGATCGTTGCTAAAGTGCGCTGGTTTTTGTGACACTGTGACGCGGCCGTATCGGGTCATTCATGACGTTTTGTCCCCCATTTGTTCCGTCCACCTCGGTGTTCATTGGCTTGCAGCAAGCCAAGCTTTGACTAATGCAGCAAACCCAAGGCTTGGCTCTGACTAATAGCCAATCACAGTGGAATTTCCCTCGTTCAGAAAAATGGGCCACGCAAGCACGGGGTCATGGCTGTGGCGATGCCCTCACATTTCCTAGGCATCCACATTCACTATTGGTCGTTGCTGTTCCGTACCTGGCAAACAGACCATTCTGGACTACAGGGATTTTCCCAGGATTCTCCCGTCTTCCAGCGATAGTCCCTCGGTTTTCCCTTACTAATGCAGTGATTCCAGTGCAGGCTTACCACATCCGGGACATCGCTTCGTCAACCATTACATCAATGATCAACGGGTACCTGACATGGAACCTTCAACGTACTTCCTGTACATAGTACTGGTAATGATACTATGTACACTAAGGACCTGTCAGGGGAGCCGAGTCGAATCCATTCCTGAGAGGCTGGTTGAGAGAACGCCCTGTGTAACATGTGATCTTCCTTGCACCTGACTGGCCGGCACGCGTCCGCTTCCGGCATCCTCGGCCTCCGTTCACCAAGAGTCCAAGACATTCCACGGTCTGGTCTTTTTGTCTTAGTCAACGGCATCCTGAGGACCTCCGAAACTCTCGACATGCATATTCATTGCACTAGTTCGCTACTACCATGCACATGATGGCACCACCGCTAGTACAAATTATCATCGGCCTCGGTGAATCATACCGCAGTATCGAAGTCGCCCGCCCGAACGCAGGAAGAAACCATCAAACACGATCGCCACTTTTGCCAGGCTGAGTGAGACCCACCATTTTCCAAGGTGACCAACCCGTTCAATGTCAGAGTAAGACCTAACAGTTGAACAGCCTGCTCTAATGAGACTTGGCCCACGTGAGATCGTGCCGTCCCTGACAGAAAATGTATCGATAAACTAACTCATGTACAAGTGGATCCACCGCAGCCACAGCAATGGTGATATATTATCCCCCGGCTGGCCCGAGCCATCCTTCTATCCCCGAGCTCGTCTGCTATTTTTGACATCTGGGAAGATTCCTCATCCACGTTGCCGGATCGATGAAGCAGGCCGCACTCGAGGCAGGATCGACATCAATCACTATTGGGCGACTGAATCTACAAGGTACTCCTCGTGTACACCCAACACAACATGGGAGAAATCGGAAACACTCAATAAGCTGAACTTCACGAGAGAACTTGGAGTCACTATCAAAATCTGCCGTTTTCTTGTCCATGACTCTACCCTGGCCTTGAAAGGAACGCCTTGGCACCCCCTGAGGGGTGAAACCGATTACGCGTTGCTCTGATATTATAAAGGGACTATGGGACGTCAGTCAACACCAAGGTTGTAACACAAATTCCTGTCGGGCACCTTCAGCGGGAAAATGAGGAGCCGTCGACCGTCGATGCCCGTTGACACCTCCGGACGAGTTGCTCCGTAGATCGGCTTGTCTATTCGAGATACTGAAGACATGGCTGTCGGCTTTAGCACTTTGAATGGTGAAGGAATCCTGCACCCGAGGCTCGCCATTGCGACTTCAACAAGTGCGAGAACGTCCGCCCTCATACTCACCACACTGGAATGTCCGACTTTGTAAATGACTTGCGCAATACTCCGTATACCAATCTCCGATGCGTTAGATGATGGCTCTGTAGGACTAGCAACCTTGAATCCTGATTTTCTGCGTTACGAAGGCCCCAGACCACACGAGAAATAGATTATTAACCTCCAGGTGCCAAGACTAAGTTGCCAGGTCAACATACATCTCATTCGAGCCGCAACAGACGTCGTATCTCCATTTATTATCAGTTATTCCCGTCAGTGCCGAAGGACTACCGCCCAGGCGAACGCACCTCAAGCGCTGTATCTTCCTGAACCTTTGAAAAACCACTGCTTCGGTCAAGCATAGGCATAGTTGCACGGTTTCTCCCGATGGATCCCCGAATTTTAGCCGATTTTGACGTCATGATCGAAAGGTCGAGTTGTTCATCTTGGCACTTGGCCGGTGCGGGGAGAGACGATCTAGTCCTTACCACGATAGAGATGCATATCGCTCTTCATCGGAACCAATTGACAACTGATCACCTTGTCTCACGGTTGGATTCATAGTCCAACAAGATGGCAACAATGGATAACCTCTTTTCTAACAATCGCGAAGAACAAACGTCGTTTCAGATGTCAACGCAGGAGCCACCCCAGGTATTTCATCAAGCGGAACGATGGAACCATCCTCGGTCCAACATACTTAAAACATTGGCCACTTACTGGAGCTTCCTGGTTATGGGCATGAACGACGCTGCATATGGCGTGAGCGATTTCATAACTTTCAATATAATTGATCTCTGCTAACATTAATAGCCGTTGATACCTTACGTCAGTCTCCCCACATACGAGGTGGACGTCTTTGAGCAATGCTAAAAACATACAGCTTGAATCTCACTACAATTTATCCTACACGGTGGTGTCACTTGTATTCTTCTCACCACTTGGTGGATATACTCTGGCTGCTTGCCTAAACAATAGAATTCACGCCAAGCTTGGCCGTCGTGGCGTTGCATGGTTGGCTCCTGGGTGCCATATCATTGCGTATATAATCAACTGTTTGCATCCTCCATATCCGGTCTTGGTTGTGTCATTCATCTTTGCAGGCTTCGGCAATGGGCTGGGCGATGCCGCGTGGAATGCGTGGCTTGGGAATATGGTCAATGCAAACCAGCTCCTTGGACTACTACATGGTTTCTATGGTGCTGGCGGAGTATTAAGTCCTTTGATAGCCACTTCCTTGATTACTAAAGCCCATCGGGAATGGTATTACTTCTATTATATCATGGTATGCTGAGACCTAACTAACGGCCAGTCGAGCGCTAATAATCATAGATTGGCTGCGCGGCGCTCGAACTTGCTTTCCTTCTCACCGTTTTCTGGGATTCCCCCGGTACCCCTATCGGGGACGCTCGCGCCGGTGAAAGCAACGGTGGCCTCCGTCAAGTTCTCTTTAAGAAAACGTATGCCCGGGTAACTTGGCTGTGTGCCTTTTTCCTTCTCGGTTATGTAGGAATTGAAGTTGCACTCGGTGGATGGATCGTAACATTTATGATGCAAATCCGCAACGGAGAAGCATTTGCCAGCGGTATGACGGCTACTGGATTTTGGCTAGGGCTGACCGTAGGCCGGGTGGTACTGGGCTTCGTGACGCCGCGAATAGGGGAGAAGGTCTCTATCGTAGTACGTCACATGTCTCACCTACCGTCACATCGCAGCTAACTAAATTGACAGGTATACTCTTTACTGGCTATTGGGTTGGGCCTCATTCTCTGGCTTGTGCCTAATTTTTATGCTTCGGCGGTGGCAGTCTCCCTCCAAGGCTTTTTTCTTGGCCCCTTTTTCCCTGCTGTCGTGGTCGTAGCTACCAAGCTTCTCCCTAAGTCGCAGCATGTCAGCGCCATTGGGTTTGCGGCTGCTTTTGGAGGAGGAGGTGCAGCTGTCCTACCTTTCGTAGTCGGTGCCATTGCACAGGCACGAGGAGTCGAGGTTCTCCAACCTTTCATCATTGGCTTGTCCGGTGGGATCCTCTTGCTGTGGTTGGGACTGCCGCGGATGCCAAAGAAGGGAGAAGAAAGCCGCCCCAGTGTTTGACGATTGCCTGTCTGGAACACTGCCATCTGGCTATGGGAATTCCCGCTGCAGCTGGGGTTAGTGTACATATGCAGACCAACTGGGTAAATGGCCCAGTCAGTTAACTATCGTTTCCATGTCTCACATAGTGAGAAAGTCTCCACAATCTCTCGATCTCCCATATCGATTCAGTTTCATTGGCACATCTGGGCATTCGCCCTGTAGTCCTGATGGTCCTGTACCTCCGACCGCCATTACACGCATCTCTCTATCCACTGCAAGTGACCCGATTTTAGGTCCCAGATGGCTGCTTGGTAGGTTGACAGTGGTTGACACGGCCCACCTCTCAACGAAGCCAATCCTTGCCGCGGAGGTGATGAAAGCCTGCAGGGAAGTCTTGTCTTGCTCTCGCAAAACACCATTGGCCATCGAAATGCCCCTTTCCTCGGCAACAAAAGTACGTGTAGCGCCACCCTCCCAGATCAAACGCTGCCACCTGCACTCCGAGCTACGTTCAGCAATCTTTCTGCTGCCACCCGCTTCAGTGACGTCTCTATAAACTCTCTGGCATCGGCCCTGGGTTCCATTCCCATTGGTCGGGTTAATGTCAATACGAGGCAGTCCCTATCGGCTATGGTAAATATACTAATTTTGGGCCGGTTTCCTACCAGACTGAGTTTGCCTCCCTATTATTTCGATGTGTTGTGTTTTGGTAGGGATCCTTCCCCATACGTAGGGGGCTAGATGGCGCTGCCAAGAATATATAACTTTCAGTCGCTTGCCGAGGATCAACCTACAAAAACGAGCTACAACTTCTTACCTCGCCTATTTTCTTATTTTTCTATTGTTTTTCTATTAATTTAGATTGAAAGGTACACATCATATCACATAAAACAGAACTGCCAGGTATTCGTGTATTTTCTCCGGGCTGAAATTGCCAAGGAAATGTTGTGGATGTGCCTCCAAACCATTCAGCGCCACGTATGCAAGGATGTCCGATTGTGCAATGAGCTATGGCATATATGACCAGATGCATATGTAACTGATTTCCATCGCGACCAACTTTACATACGGTGCCTAATTTAGTGTTCACGCTCGGTTATGATGAACGCGATTCGGTTGAGGACATTTATGCCTTGGCTAACGCGACCGAGACACGGAATACCAACCCCGGGCATCGGTTCGATATCCTCGACCTGTCCCGCATTCCAGGTTGTGGGGACAACGTGGCATCGTGTGCATTCATGTTTAGTTGAACGAAAACAAAGGAGAGCCAGGCTGACAGACCCGATTCACTTGGTGAGAAAACAACATGTTCGATCCAGGTCGATATGGCCATGCACACAGCCGGCGACCTGGTTCAAATGACGAGAGAAGAGTTCGTCATGTCTTGAGCGCAAGAGTCCCCATGGACAATGCAAGCTGATCAAGCCAATCGAGGGATTTCGCCTCGTTCGAGCTGGTGCTCTCATCGCTCACGGACAATGTCTCTTCTGGGGCTGGTCGATACGTGACTGTGTTCCAAGGACCCTGAGGGGGGTTCTTCTCGGAACCCAGCATCCGGATTTCGCTAGCAGCAAGAAGCACGAGAAGCTGGTCAAGGAGTGCCAACGCCGACTCTATACCCCGCAACGTACTATGCGCAATGGTGTGCACAAACTGCTTTGGGATAGGCCCGTCGAGAGGATATCTCTTCTGCACCGTCTGACTGTTCATCTGAAGTTCCAGCAGCGCAGCCAACCGCCGTTGCAAACCCCGCAAGAGGTCTCGGCTGCAACGAATCTCCGTGGCGAGGGACTCACTCGACGACTTAGACGCTTTCCCAGCAATCATCTCCCGTGTGCGCACCAGGTATCCCGGACAGAGTAAAACCTCCCCGAACGCCTTCTCCGTCATTTCACCCAGTTGACTGCCCTTCCCGTCGCGTTCCTCCGCTAGTAACGCCTCCCGATTCATCGTCCGCCACTCCTCGCCCTCCAGAAAGCATGGCTCCTGGCAAGTGAAGGCCTCGGCTACTAAAAACGCGCGGTACGTGGTGTACATGGTACGCCCGAAGCCTGAGCGATGGGCATCCGGACCACGCAACCGGAACAATGCCCCGATTCCGCGCGAATGCACCAGCCATGAATTCGCTCCTACACCGTCCAGAACCTCGTATACGCCGAGTGCTATCGCGGCCGCTAGGGTGCTATCCGATTTGACGCGAGCGGGATCTCGAATGGATTGGGCTAGACACCGCAACGCCCTGTTATACATGTGTCGACTCGCCTGGAGCTGGTCATGGTCGTGATGTCGTCGCGCCAAGAACCAGGTGTTCAGACAGCGGATGCCCCAATTGACGGAGCTCGGCTGCGTGGCAGAATGATGTCGGACAAAGTCGACCCAAGTGAGATCGACGCGGGCAGAAAAGGCGGCGTACAAGTTCGGGAAGGTAGCGTAGACGACATCCGAGAAGACCTCTTTCAGCTGTGTATCCAGCGCGGTCGCCGTTAAGGTCGGGGCGAAGCATTGGTCGATTGGAGGCCGGGCGACCACGAGGGCCTGTTGCTGGTGGTGGTATTGGTATTCCTTTGGCGTCGGTTTAGATGGACGTGCGTCGTCGGAGTCGGAAGTGCGGGTGGGTTTAACGATGGCCGGGGCGGTTTTATGGTAGAATTGGAATCTCTTTTGGTAGCCAGGGCAGGGGATTTTGCGCTTTTGACAGCGTAGACATTCTGGACGGGTTTGATCGCACTATTTTTTCCATTAGGATGGGCATTTTCCGCTTCGATATGTTATTCTTGTTCTTTTGGGTGTGAACTTTTGTCAAAGTCTTAAATTTTTTTTTATCCTTTAATATTTTTCTTTTTTTTGTTCTTGAGTGGAAACATGGCCGAGGCAGATTTTAACATTGGAGCACCCACTTTGACCCGCCGCTGGAGACAGGCGCGACAGCCAGTGCTGCGCGGTACGCCAACCATTCTTCGCTACTGATTGTGAGGAGGGAGGCATGAGATGAATACGAAGATCGTGAGGAACCGAGACGGAGTGATAGGCTTGTTGAGGTGCACAAGCCCTTGCACCGTGAGAGAAACGGGGAACATCCGACGAGCGGCCCCCCTTCATCCGATAACCCTCGTATATCGGAAGGTATTAAAGCACGCCAAGAGACGGCGCCCCTCCCCGCCACGGGATCAGGAGATGGATATGCACTTTATGCACGAATCCTAGAAGGAACACACTAAGATTTGTGAGAGAAGGCGTTAGCCCGCCACTACGGAGTACGGAGTACGTACGACGTGACCGCCGGATGTTAGCCCTAATCAGGATCTAGTCGATGGTGTACCACCAGTCGAGTCAGTAAGTAGGACAAGACCGTTATCTAGCCGCAGGATGAGATGGAATCGGTTCTGTCCCCAGCGTCTTATCAAACTTTAAAACATCAGAGCGACGGTCGTGAACATCAGGACGAGAGAGTTAACTTCGTAAGTCGACTGGACGAACTTCCGATCTCCCGTGCGGTTTAAACTTGGGTCCCAGACTCGACGAACCACGGAACGCCGAGCAGTAATCAAAATTTCGCAAAGATACCAGGTCGCACTAGCGAAAGACAAGGGCCTGATTGGCTGTCCGGGTGTCGTGTACTTTGGCATCGTGCGGCAGCTGCGAAGGGCCTTCCTTCGCGCTCATAGCTTGTTCTAGACTGCTGAAGCTGCTTACTCCGGAAACGCAGCGTGCTCGGTTCGTGCTGTGTACAAACAGGGTTTAGAGTCGCATTGCCATCACACCAACGGCTCTTGCCTGTTTAAGGCCGTGATGCATCGATCCGTTAGAGGGGGGGATTGTGGAGCCAACAAGGGTCGATAAATAACTTCGCCGTGTCCTCCGTCCAAGATTCGTGCATCGAGAATGTAGCCCCCCACCGCCACATGGAATCAGTAGAAACGGCTCACTCCGATCCCTACAGATGCTCGGGACTCTTTTCCATGGCTTTTTCGGGGACCACATGAGCCTGAAGAATTGAGACCACAGTGACGTGGCGTGATTGGAATTGCTGACAGCGGATAGTGGAGGTGCTGCCGACGCCGGGAGGCAATTTTTCTCTGGGAGGGAGGAGAGTACTCGAAGTACCTAATGTCTACAATGCGATAATCATCCCTAGCGAATCTTGGTCAATCGACGTGCGACCTCTCGTTTTCTTGCTACCCAACTCGACGTGGCGAAACGGGTGCCTTTGTCTCGATACAAAGAATTGGGGGGTTGCGGCTATGCCCTAGTCGAGGGGGCCGAAGAAAAAAAAAATAAAAGTAAAAAACAAAAGGACAAAATGCCTGAACACAGAAAAATGGCAAAAAAAAAAAAAGACCCAGCCAGTGGATCCACTGGACCTCCAACCATTGAACCAACCAGTTAACCGATCACTGAGACGGTCACTAATGCCAACTAATAAGCGGCTAACGCTGCTGGCCTCCCAAAGGAGCCACCAGACCTCCTCCTCGATCGACGGTCGCGGCACATTGGTGGTGCATCCGTGCAAATGCGAACTAACGAGTGACGGGCGTAAGAAGATGATGATGGCATGGATTGAAGAATAGCCAGGAGCCGAACGGGACTTGTGTCCTTTGCCAGTCGCAAAACTTGGCCAGCTCTTTGAGACACCGCAAATCTCTCAACGGCGGTCCCGCTATGCAGCCTGTTGACGAGTCCGATTGAAGACTCGCTATCGTTGGGGACCACAATTCCTCATTCTTCAGGACCTTTTTCCTCTCCTTTCCTGCCGGCTTTTCCTTTTTTTTAAAAAAATTATTTTTCCTGTTTTCTTTTATTTAATCCTTTCTTTTTACCGCTATTAATTCTATTACTATTGCTCGTATAATTACCTCGTAGTGGTATTGATTTTTTTTGGGGTTTCTCCTGGTTCCATTCCCCGGATTAATCTGGATGCTATTTCTCCCATTTCACAATCACCCACTCTTTCCTTCTCTCTAAAGTTATCCTCGTATTACTGCTGTCCCCAATTCTTGGGAAAGAATGGAATCCCGTAGCGAACCACCGCAAAAACGCCCCCGGGAGGAAACTCCACCGGAGAGCCCACCACAAGCAGTTGAACCTGAACCTCAACCTCAACCTCAAGCGGAACCAGAGCAAGCACCGCAAGAAGAACCGCAACCAGAAATACCACAGGGGCATGTTCAGGGCATCATCGAACCTGATGTTAGTTCATTCCGATCTTGGTAGCCGGGGGGGAGATTCAGCTAACCAGACTTCCTAGAACTTCTCAGATGCCGACGGTGATTCCTTATATGCGGGATCGTAAGTGGCGAAGTCCCGTTTCGCCTAAATTGACTGGCTGACAATTGTAGACTGGGAGATGCCAGTTATACCACCAGTATTACTTCAAGTGCTATGAACTATCAGTATGTAACAGGTCATATTTCTGTGGGGACGTTGCTAACAGCACAGATATGAGGTATTTCTTGGCTCAACTACGGTATTGTGGCGCTTACTAAGTATCTATCGTAACGATAGAATGGTCGCAGATATCATTCGTATCATGAGGGTGAATACATTCTGGTGGGTATTCCGTTGCCTTCTCTCGGAGTTCTACTAACTTCGACAGCCCAATGATGAACAAGAACAAGATCGTCTGGACTTGGTTGGTTGAGCCTCGTGGCAGCATCAGTGAACGATCGAATGGCCAAACTAACCGCAACAGAGCCACCACATCTATCGGATGATCCTGAAAGGAGAGCTGCATGCGGCCCCTATCAAGAACCCCGCTCGGGTCCTGGATATTGGTACCGGAACTGGCATCTGGGCCATCGACTTTGCAGAGTAAGTCCGGCCGGCCAGGAGAGTCATTGGCCAGAGACTGACGAGACCAGCGAACATCCCGAATCAGAAGTGATCGTAGGTATTTCGTTCTGCCTACAAAAGAACACAGGATTGACTGGTCGGCTTAGGGAACGATCTCAGTCCTATTCAACCGTCATGGTATGGCCGATGCGTCCTGGTCGTTCGAACACATTACTAATTGATTAGGATTCCTCCCAACCTCCGCTTCGAGGTGGATGACTTCGAAGCGCCCTGGTCGTACAGCCAGCCCTTCGACTACATCCACGGCCGTGAGTTGGAAGGCTTCATCCGCGATCACGACCACCTGTTCGAACAGGCCCTGGCCAATCTGAAGCCCGGCGGATGGATGGAAATTGCCTCGATCGAAGTCAACTGCTTCTCCGACGACGACACACATCTCAAAGCAACATCGATGATGGACGGGGTCAAGCACATGCACTTGAGTGCCAAGAAGTTCGGCAAGGATTTCGACACTGTGAAGAATTGGAAAACGCAGATGGAAAACGCCGGCTTCGTCAACGTTCGCGACGACGTTTACAAGGTACGCACTGATTCCCTCCCCCAGGCACAGGAAATACTAACGGCCACAGCTGCCCCAAAGCCCCTGGCCCAAAGACCCCAAGCTCAAAGAGCTCGGCCGCTACCACCAGGTCAACATGATCGAGGCCATGCCGCCCTACTGCTATGCGCTGTTTACACGGATGCTTGGTTGGCACCGGATCGAGATCGAGGCGCTGGTGGCAGGGATGCGGAGGGAATTGCGTGATACGTCGCTCCATTTGTACTCGCGACTGCACATCGTTTATGGGCAGAGGGCGCTCTGAACGCCTTGTGATGATCGGTCAATAATGAATTTGCATCTACGCATTGGGTTGTCAAGTATTCTGAGCGAATTATTGCATGTGTCCTGCTGTGGCGCATAGGACGTTGGTTTCTATACGAATTTCTTTCTTTCTTTCTTTCTTTCTTTTTTTTTGATATTTCATTATCTATTCTCCATCTAAGCTGACTGTTGTGTATCCACGATTGTGAAGTGTATCCCAGACGGTGTCCCTTGCACATTTTACTAGTATCAGTTTCATGACAAGCTACTGAGCCGTCTTGGCAATCTTCTACCATGTTATCAATCTGGATAAACTTCCATGGTCCGGAATCTAGTGTCGGGCTCTAGGAGATCCGTGTTTCCGACTTGAGCTATCAGGAAGCTTCCTTTGTGTGTTCAAAATCCCTGAAGTACTCCCGTACTCGATATAGGATCCAAGTTGGCAGGTTTGGCGGGTCGTACAGCGTCCACGCTATACCCTGTCTGTGTACCATTGCCGACAGTTTCATTGTCACCTCGAGTGTGTTACGTTTCCATTTCCTTTGCACGGGACGGCGGCTTGTATCAACAATGGAGGCCCCACTGAAGCCGATCAAACCCCCTGTCGGGTGGGATTTGACGTAGCACCATGCGTGTCCAAGATCCCCGATCCTACTATGTGCATTGTCTCTTCTCTCAGCGACGTAGGTCTCAAACAATCTGTGCGTTTCTTGGCTGGCTGGCATTGTAGAGCTACTGTCAGCGCCTGAAACAGACCCCACTCTTGATTCTCCTGGTGTTGTATCGGGCTTTGTAACTGGGGACGCCCTGCGACGGGTTGGCCAACACCTTTACGGCGGTAGGCTCTACAGGGACGCATCTCCTGTTAGACGTCACTGTGGATGGATATCGAGATAAGGGACATCCCAGATTAGCGTCCCGGTTAAGGCCTCGGGGCGGGAATTTTTACTCTACCTCCATGCTTATACTAGTTAATAGTTAAATCAGGACTGGTGCATATGGACCCGGAAGATATACTCCCGAACCCGTTTCTACGGACCGTTAGTTTGTTATATATATAGTTTGTACGACCCAACTTCTACAAATGAGAACAACGCGACCTGTTGCCAATCATGGTTAGGGCTGATGCCTCGCTCATCTTCTCTCCTGGAAGATGTATGTAACTGCAACCCTATACTAGACTCACTCTGTCGCCTCGTCTCCCATGGTGATGCCCCAAATAGGCAGTATGACGTAGCCTGCGATCACGTGAGATAAGACGTCGATCATCGTGCGCCTCGTACTCTCGCCAGGACCAGTATTCCTACCATAGACGCCTTATAGAGCCCTGATTTCTCGTTGTATCGGAAAATGCCGACCCCAGGGAAACGGAAGCGGGCAAGTAAACCGAAAGTGCGGACGGGCTGCATCACCTGCAAGTTAGTGTCACTGGTTATTGGAACCACATCCCGAGCGGAGGAAAGCTCAGACCAGGAGATAACCGGTGCTAAAACCGTCTGCGACGCAGGATCCGGAAAGTGAAGTGTGATGAAGGCAAGCCCGCCTGCAGTCGGTATGGCTCACACAGCAGAGGGCCGTGAGACTATGGATGGGGCCGTGGACTGACAAATCGGTCTCAGGTGCATCAGTACCGGACGAAAATGCGACGGCTATGCCTCGCAGACGACGCCATACCAGATCTCGCAGCCGCTGCTGACCGTCACGGCTGCCAAGTCGAGCACGGAGTCACGCGCGCTGGAATTTTTCTTTCACAAGTCGTCCTCCCAGCTGGCCGGGTTCTTTGAAGGCTCGTTCTGGAAGGTCTCTGTCCTCCAACTCAGTCTTGTGGAACCCGCCATTCGCCAAGCCATCGCTGCAATAGGCTCGTTGCATGAGCACAAAGGAGGCTCTAAACTGCTCCCCTCGTTTAATACCGCCGGTGGCGATCCGCATCCGGCCCTCCAGCTGTATACCCGGGCGATTCGCTCGACGATCGAGAAAAGCGCCGCCGATACAGGCGCGATCCCCGTGGTTGTGGTGGCGAGCATTCTGTTCACGGCCTTTGAGTTTCTGCGCGGGAACGCGTCCGCCGCAGCGTCGCATATCTCGAACGGTATTAACCTGCTGTGGGCATGGCGCGAGAAGACCGGTAGTCGGCCGAAGGTGCCGTGGGGCCAGGGATATGCCTCGTTCCAGTCGCACTTTGTGGAAACCGAATTGGCCCCGATCCTGAGTCTCTTTAATCTGAACAGTTCCGAGTTCCATCCTGGCACGCGCCGAAAGGTCCTGCTGAACCCGGTGGAGACCGGACTGCTCATTCTAACGGACAGATTCGAAAGCCTCCGCGAAGTCAGGGTGGCGATGGTGGACTTGGTCACCGCCACTGCGGCGGTATTCCAACTACTGGATCGGAACTTACAGTTAGGAAAGCTACCCGATGCTGGATTGCTAACGATCATCAGCGGACTTCGGCAAACGCGCGACCGCTGGAAAACGAACTTCGATGATCTTGTTCGGCGGCAGGGCTCAACGTGGAACAAGAACGAACAGGATGCGGCCGAAGTCCTCCGTCTGATGTGGTACTCGACCGTGATGGGAACGACGACGTACCGCGTGGGCTGCGAATGCGCCTGGGACGAGCACCGGGCGGACTTCGAGGAGATTGTCCGCATCGGCGAGAAGATCGTGTCGGACCCCGATCGCTACCCCGATGAGCTGTCAAAAACACTCTGTCTCGATTTCGGTTTGTTATACCCCCTCCACGCTGTGGCTTGGAAGTGCCGCTGGCCGCGCCTCCGTCGCAAGGGATTAGATCTGCTGCGGCGGATGCCGAGAAAAGAATGGTGGTATGAAGTTAGCCACTACCACGTGGTCTTTACACAAATCATGGAGTTCGAAGAAGCATGTCTGGATCCGCACGGGGTCGTTACCCCCGAGGATGCAGCCATCATCCCCGAGCGTGTCCGCGTGCATGATTTCTATACCGAACAGACACCCACGGAGGCCAACGGATATACTCTCTATAAATTGACCATGCTGACCAAGCCGGATGGTCTGGACGGAGGGTGGCATTCCACAACAGAAGACCTGTGGTTGCCAACGCCGCCCCAGGACAGCGACACGGTTTCACCCTTCAACCTGTTTTGCTGCAAGGACTGGGCGAAGGCCGAGATGTCCAACGCGCAGACGGTGAACATGGTGACAAATGCTGTGCTGGGACCTGAAGCGTCACCGCGAACACGACCTGACGATTCCTTCAACGGGAAACGCTCAATCCTTATGGCACCGATCTTAAAACCTACCTCCGCGACCGGGTGGCTTGCCCGCACCCGATAGGACGATGCACATGAGCAAGAGGGGACACAATCTTGCTCTTTGTCCGGAATAATTGTGCCTAGTGTTAGAGCCTGACTACCTATGATGTCAAAGCATGACTGCCTGATAATCCCGGGTCTGATTGCGAGTCATGAGTGTTTCCACGCACGAGAATGACTCGTCGCAGACCGCACCCGGGTTTGATTATCTCCCCTCAACTATATAATTTATAGAATAGATCAATACTAATTGAAACGCATGGTTCGATGAGAATGGGGAATACAATGAAGTTTGCGATCTCTAGTGACTGGATGCTCTTTACACCTACAGCTCGGTATAGGGTTGATCCCTTGTGAAGTAGCCTCAGGCGCTCAGGCTTCAGCGGAAGCCGCCGGAGTCTAGCCCTGAGGACTGGGGAAACACCATATTTTGTTGAATTTTTAACATCCTACTCATGATCTAGGAATAATGCTATAAATAACCATGAGATACGCTAGTTAGTTAAGTCATCTCCATTTATAAGCTCAGGAATGGATGCCTCGGCAAGGTCCACTATTCCACACCCACGCTAAAGTATAACTTTTGTTTTTAAGGATGACCAAGAATTATGGCATCCTCACTAGACTGCGTTTCAACGGATTGTCCACCAAGCGATGACACATCGTTACCTAAGGATGGTTAAGCATAGATGACTTTTATTAAGTTACATACACTCTATCGTCGAGGCCCCAGAGCCAATCGGTCTCGAACAAGACTAGTGAAATTCCGATCGCCTCGGATTTAAATTCAATTATTAACAACGTCATTATCCGCGATCTGTCCGATTGGGAAATCTATAAATACTCATCAATTTCCTCGCTAGCAAAGCTCCACCATTCCCTCTCTGCCCAATTCACTACCCACATCAATCCCCAACCAAGCGCAAGATATCCCACAAAATGTCCAAAGGCAGCGCCGCCCTCCTCGCCGCCCTGGCCAACCGGCGCTCCTACTACGCGTTGCGCCGCGAATCCCCCATCGCCGACAGCAAAATCCAGTCCATCCTCGGCTCGGTCATGCTCAAAACGCCGTCGGCATTCAACTCGCAGACCACGCGCACAATCCTTCTCCTCAACCAAGAACATGAGAAGCTCTGGAACATCACCAAGGACGTGCTGTTGGCGCGTATCGGACCCGAGCGATTCAAGCCAACCGGGGCGAAGCTGGACGGCTTCAAGGCGGCGTACGGCACCGTGCTGTTCTACGAAGATCAGCCTGTGGTGGAGGACCTGAAGGCGAAGTTCCCCCTCTATGCGGAGAACTTTGAGCCCTGGTCAGAGCATACGAGTGGTATGCACCAGTTAATGGCGTGGGTTGCGTTGGAGGAGGAGGGATTCGGTGCCAATTTGCAGCATTATAACCCTATCATTGATGAGAAGGTGGCGGCCAACTGGAATGTCCCGGCGAGTTGGAAGCTGAGGGCGCAGCTTGTGTTTGGTGTGCCGGAGGGAGAGAGGCCCGCGGAGAAGGAGAAGATGCCGCTGGGCGAGTTGATGAAGGTGTATGGGGCTAAGATTTGAGCAGTCTGTTTGAGTGGTGATTAAGACTAGATGTATCATGTCATAGAATTGTAGCACAGCGATAGAGATCGTGCATTCGATAGAGAGTCATATATGACGATTATCAAATCTTTCTATTATCATTCTTGACCCCAGACCCGTCTGCTATGTGAGACATGTTACTGTGACACCTGTTAGAGTTATAGTTTCTAAGACACGACCTTAGCGCCATATGATGTTTTGGTCAAGTGAGATCGTCACTAGTTAAGACCTCCAGTTGAGCTGTGTGAGTGCTAACGCACCGGTCAAGCACCACCTCCACCAAGAGCGCCGAGAGCCCCTAATGCTCCCGACTTTTTCACGGCGCCGAAATCCGTTCCTGCATACGCCGAGGGCGGCAACCAGGCTGCTAGTTCTGCCCAAAGGTTAAACACAAAACCGAGCACGAGGGCATTATACCAGCATGGAGCCAACATTCACTCACCATCCGCTTTAGCCTGACTACTCTCCAAAGTATCATACCACGCCCTCAAAACCCACAATGCAATCAGGGCATCCCTCACATTCTGCTCCATAGATGCCGTAACAACCAACTTCACCCCCTCGCCCTTCCCCCCCTCAAACGCCACCTCCCTACCCCGAGCATCGGTCCACCGATACCCACCCCCAGTCCACTTCATCTTAACCGTGAACAGAGGTATCTCAGCATCCTCACAAAACAGCGGCTTATCGTCCATACTCTTCCCCGCGCTCAGAAGCGCCCGAAACTCCGCCTTCTGAAACCGCGACTTGCTCACCTCAAAGCGGATATTACCCAAACACCCAAGGGAGACGGAGGTGATATAATAGGCGGGGACATCTTTCCGGTACCGCGCATGCGCCGGATGAGCGAGGTAGAACATGTGCTTCTTCTGCGGTTCGGGAGATTTGCTGTCTAGTTTTGAAGGCGCGTCCGTTTCTATTCGTTCGAATTTTACGGATGTGAACTTTTGGGGCAGAGATGCTATGTCTTGGGATATCTGGTAGAGTGGTGTTGAGGGGACGGTCTCGGCGTGGATGAGTTTGTCTGATAGGATGAGAGTGGTTGGAGGTAGGGTTTCTTCTTCGGGAGTGGCTGATGTTATGGAGGAGTATGGAGGGGGCGGATCTGAAGTTGAGTCCATTTTGTCTGGGCTTGATTTCAGAATGAGGAAGTAGTAGATATGAGGTCGATGTTGAATATGCCGAGAATTCACCGCATAGTTACATTAAAAAAAGTTCGGCAAGTGAAACCACGTAGCCCTAATATTTATACTATAGCCCACAGGGCATATTAAGCGTCATGAGGGCTCGGCGTTGGAGCATGACGTAGTCATATGGGGTGGCAGTGAGGTGATCTGCGAGAACCCTAGCCCGGGGAAAGTATGTCTGGACGAGAACTTGGTATCGATATCGGGCCATCGTTGGTTCCTTCGTGGCAATGCACGACTGCCAAGACGCCGTTGGTTGTTAGACTCTCGTGTTTGGGCTGGGGTCCGTATCGTTTGGTGTTGGCGCAGCGCTTTTGGAGGAGTCAATTTGAACGGCGCTTTGCTCGACTGTAGACTGTAGTGGTGATTAGTGAGGCCCACTATGTAGCTGCTGGCGATAGCTTCATGGTGTAAGTAGGAGTTGTTCAATAATATATAAATTCAGCATTGCCAGTCAATCTATCGCATATGTACAACAAACAAGGAAAAATATGTTCCAGAACACAAGTCGTAAAATCATACAGGCTCATCGCGTAGCTCAGTGGTCATCGTATAGGACCGGTCTAAAGACGCCTCCGTCTTCGCCAACGGACTCAAAACCTTCGAAGGATGGAACAAACTCATCCCCACCATAGTGATGAACATCAGCGCCGCATCGAACACATACATGAATACCTCATGGCTAATCAGGTACCCATCATTGCCCTGCGCATACTCGATCAAGCGGAAGATCGACCGAATGAGGATCAGAATGCTGGCGCTGTATAACCCCAACATAACAGTCTCCCAGGTAGCGTCGCGCCAATTGCGAGGGAAGATGGAAGTTCCAACAGATCTGGACGTCGGATTCCTGCGAATGCGGTAATGAAAGATGGTCGCCACAATGATGAAGACGCTGAAAAACACCAGTTGCACGCATAACCCTGCGATGGTGACGTTCTCACCCGTGTTCATCGCACTGACGGTGCCGCTTGCCATGATTCCGCCGCCTAAAATATCGTCAGCATTCCAGGAAAATGAATGATGGAAACGTTGGAACTGTTCTATACCTGTTCCTTGTGCGAGGAATGCGATCACATCACCCGTGACGAAGATTGTCGTGAGCCATTTGGTAGATACCGGACTTAAATTCTCTGCATCGAGATATCTGATGAGGCGGCCCAGTGTCATGTATATAGAGGCAGCGTAAAGAGGGGGCGCAAGAAGAATCAGAATAGTCCCCACAGCATAAATTGGTACGGACTCCTTGTTGGAATGCGCCAGTGCACGACAGATATATCCTATTATCTGGACTGGTCTTTGTTAGTAACTTGGTGAATTCCACAGAAAGATGGACTAACAAATTCCGCCAGTCACAAAGACTAGAAAGTACCAGCATTTCGGGCGAACAGTTTGCCAGAGATGATAGGCCGTTGTTAGGGTGAACAGAACAATGAAGATTACCGCTGCGACGAGAGATGGTGTATAGCGGTACAGTTTAAAGTCGATCCCGCCATCGTCGTTACCACTCATGTTGACTGATATCACAGGTAATTGTGAACTGCAAGGGGAAGGCTATAATGGACCCGTGTTAAGTTGAGGCTTCCATCTTTCCTTGTAGCGGCCGCCTTCATGTTTTAAAGGGGATCTCGAATTCGAATTCGAATTCGTTATCGTTTCCACCTCCGGATCTACTCCGTATAATTATAGTCTGCGGATGTCTCCACTCGCGCCAGGGGGTCAATGGTAAAGATTGAAGAGCCTAGAGTAGCCAAGCCTGGTCCTAGTAACGGCTATCTACCGAGACAAAGCAAATACTCCGAGTGCTTCGGTTTAGGCTTCCAGGAATAACTAACCTTTGTATGTGCAATAGTGGTAAGCCGTTCTGATTTGTATGACAATCTAACATGCCCCACTCGCCGAATGGTTTGATAACAGGAGCCCTACGGGCGTTCACACTACATTGTGATGATTTAGACCAATCTGGACAGCACCCGGCTATTGATCTATAGCTTTTATCCGATCTCTCTTAAATCTGACAGTGGACATGCTAAATGCAATCTATGTGACCTTGGGTTGCTCCACATTTCTGTTTCCAAGATGCATCGTACAGCAGCTGAGACCCACACTTGCCACCATTCAAGTTAAGTTTTCAATGTAATGTGGATCCTCTTATTCACAGCGGCCAATTAAATATCCATAGCCCCGTATTCGAATCAGTGTTCGTTTTCGCTATCGTATTACTTCAATACGCCGCATCTGGAGCAGATACTGCTCGCGATCCCCATATCTGGGCCGTACAGAGATCTGATTTCGTTTCTAACGAATAACGAAGACTTCGTTTGCTTTACTGCTACGTCAGACGGAACATGCCGCCCCGGAGATCACACAAGAAGTCTCGCAATGGCTGTGACCAATGCAAAAAAAGGAGAGTGAAGGCAAGTACCCCGATTTGACAGCGGCATTTCCTGTCCATTTTATACCTCCCTTATTAATCGTCTCCAGTGTGATGAAGCCGATCCATGTTTAAACTGTACCCGTCGTAGTCTCTCGTGCAGCTACCAGCCTCGAATTGTTACACCACGACCTGAACCCAAGAAGAAACATGCTGAACAACTAGTTGCATGCTCCCCAGCTCCCGGTACATCTCTTGCCGAGATATCTGCACGAACCGATGCCGCCTTAAGTGCCTTTCAGCGCAATTTAACAGATACGGCATACTTTGTGCGCGAGTGGAATGGTCAAGACCCCGAATTGATGCACCATTACTGTACCTCCACATGTACCACCTTATCAGATCGAGAAGATGTCCACCATGTGTGGAGAATCGAGATTCCGAAAATCGCTTATTCCTATGAGTTTCTCATGCATGGAATCTTATCGTTATCCGCACTCCATCTGTCATATGTCAAGCCCGAAAAACATAGTCATTACCTCACCAGCTCCACTTTCCATATGGCCCTAGGGCTCCAAACCTTCCGAACTATACTTCGGAGGCCAACCGAGGAGAATTGCTATGCGCTGTTCGCATTCTCGAGCCTCATCATGGTCTGGATCTGCGCAGTCCCGACAGACTCGAAGGATGCACAGCCTCTGAGCAGCGTGATTGAGATGTTCAACCTCTCCCGTGGTATAACGACCCTCTTGGAGTTTTTCCCATTAATTCACAAGTCTTGTCTTGGGCCACTGTTTTCTCAAGATTGGAGCGAGAAAGTGTATGTGACCTCTTTCATGTCATCGTGACTTGTCTCTTTCCAACTAATTTTATTAGTAGGGACACCCCACTTCATCTCTTCCGTGGTCTTAGTGACCAGATCGATCAACTCAGATATCGGCTCACGGTCGAAGTACTTGAAGAAGAGGAGAGATCAATCTTAGAGCATGCCATGATGGAGCTGAAGAAAGCCTGCCAACGTATTGAACGCGCCCGCACACCCTCTGCCTGCGGCATGGTTTTTGTTTGGCCGATTACAGTCCGCAACGGATTTCTTGGCTTGATTGAGAAAAGGCAGCCTCTTGCCCTTGTATTGCTTGCTTGCTACTGCGCACAGCTACATGTGTTCCGGCGTTTTTGGGTTATGGAAAGACGTGCAGAATCGCTGCTATCCGAGGTCTTGGCAGTTATGCCGCCTGGGTACGCGGATCTCTTGGACTGGCCGCGACAATTCTGTTTGCATGGTCCCGATATGGAGCGATGGTGTGTCCTTCATCCAAGCACGGAGGGAATATTTGAGTGAACGTGCTCTCATGTCTATGTTTGAATCCAATACATGTCGAAGAATTTCCATGTTTATGACTTTCTCCTGTCTAAACTTGAACGGGCAATTATTCCAGCAGTCAAATATGGGGCACAAAGGCTGTTCCCGTTCTAGCACTGGTAGTATCCACTGTATTGTTCCTGAATGCTGCATGAGGGCACAAAAATTGATGCCTAACATAATGATCACGTGTCCACCATCCAGATGCTCATAAGCATGCACTAAGCCAGGAATGGTAATCCGAGAGGGGGTTTGCTCGCCCGATTAGGTTAGTGACATAGGAAACCATTCCGACATCCACTGAATGCACAAGTCCACCTTGAAGAATTGATCGCTGCGACCAACCCTAAAATGAGAATCTCCATCATCTCGACGGCTATTACAGCATGCTGTCTATTTATAGTAGGATGCGGTACGAGGTCTTTACGGTGTATCCCATAGAAAACTTTCAAAGCCCCATAACTGATGAACAACAGGCATCTTACTCTACAACAACACGCGGGTCCCACCGGAAGCTATGGACCGGCATGCCTACTGCGCTGACTGCATTAACTATGCAAGCCGCGTGGATGACATGATCCGTCGTGGCAATAATGTCCGGGGAAATAAACAGTTCTTTAAATACGCTTCGGACATGTCGTGTCGCGGCCAGCTGCTAATTAGCAAGCGGTGTCTACGGTATCGCCGGGCGTTCCTTGACAACTCGGATAGGTTTATGTTCGATATTGAAGTTCCATCTCAGGCTTGTATTGCTATCAAAGCCTGCTAAGACGCTCCGTGTCTTCTTTCGCCTTTCCTGTTTTTTGTCTTCTGTCGCGCTTTGGGTTGAGGCAGCGTTGGCCAATCTGTCAGTGCATTGATACTGAGAACTGGATCCCAAGAAATGGGGGAATGGCCCAAACCCAAAGTCAAGCCATGAGGTGGGAGTTCATAAGGCATCACCTGAATGGAAATCATCGCCTGTTGCCACACATTGGCTTGGGAGCAACTTGTTTCTTGATTACGATAACGTTGGGTCTGATCTAAAATATCACTCATCTACATTGCGAAAATTCACCAATGCGAAGCGACTGAAAGTACTATGGAACTTATGTACATAACATATCGATATAAGGCATGCATATAATTCAGAGCTATGGCTTTTCTTGATCAAGAATGCACATATAGGCGGAGGAAGACATACGGAAGGCATAATGTTCATACCTCATGGTTATTCTCGACTTGTTAATGTGGGTGTTGAGATATTCACTCGTCCATCATAATGAACACGTGTATCTTAATCAGATAAGATAGTTTATCAGGTAGTGCTGACGGATGAGTGAAAAGAGGGAGACTTGTGCTAGGTCTGTCGGATTGATGTGGCATATAAGTATGCTGAAGTCCTGGGAGCTGACCTCGGACAAGAAACTGGTTTACCGATTGTTCTTGAGTCAAGTCCGGCGTCTTGTCTATTCCAGGGACAGGGACATGGCCACCTGTCAGCAGCAAACCCGGGATTTCTGGGGCGAGTATTATGACTGGCTGAAGTTGGTCAAGCAAAAATATGATCTAGACCATATATTTTGATGCTATCCTTGCGTGGGAAGCGAAGATTGGGCAGAGGTAACGAATGGGAAGGGATATAGTCTGCTATGTCAGAATGATAATGCTCTTCCTGGCCCATGTCGCTATGTATATTTTTATCTGTACGAGGAAGCGAATGAAGACAAGCTATGGTGTTTCGCCCCACCAACATGATCACGTAACTCCTTGGGCACTGCCACAAAATCATGCAGTGGTTATATTGATCGACACCATCGCCTGGCAAAGGCTCTTTCCGTAAACTACCACCAATAGCGAGGGTAATTATTCAGACCTCCGTTAATTTGGGTTCGCACTTGGCTGTATTAATTGCGGAAGGGATGGCAGAGGATCGAAAGCGTCACTGCTGGGAGTGCCTTCGACGGTCCTTAGTATGTGATTTCACCCGACCTCAGTGTAAGCGATGTTCAGCGACCGGGACCATCTGTCCGGGGTACAATGATACGCAGCCTCTCAGGTTAAGATGGCTTGCACCGGGAAGAGTGAAGTCTCGAAACCGGAAGCCAAAGAAAAATGGCACCAATGAAATAATGACGAAGCAATGGGCTAGCCCTAATTTTGTAGTTAGTCCTCCAGCGGAGTTGAAAACCGACCTACATGTGTTTATCCAGGCGACAGAATACTGTCAGTGAAAGATTTCAGGCAGACATCTCGTCAGTTACACTGACATATTCTCCAGATAATGCTTGCATCTACCCCGATCTACTCCACATCACTAGACTTGGTCAGAACTCTGCCGTATACCAAATCACACCTCCGATCTTCCAGATGGCGATTGCGGCCCATCCTGATCATATCCGACTCGTGATTGTCTGCATGACTTTGAGTCACCGAATGAATCGTGCGAGAAATGGACCCGAGTGCCATGCGCTGGCGCGGAATTTCTTTCACTATCGCGGCCAGCTGATTCGATCTCTAAGCGATGATATTAAGGCGGAACATAAATGTATGAGCGACCTCGTCATTGCAGGCATCCTGACACTTTTGCTCGTTGATGTACGTCAGTACACCCTAGTGGACCTAAAGATAGGACTGACCATACCGGGGCACACAAGTCCCAACAAGGTGCCTCGCCGCATTATCGATGCCATCTTGATGGAGTACGAAGAATCATCATGTTACGTGGCGGCATACGTTCCCTGGCGCAATCAACCGGCATGGTGCCGTTACTTCTCTTCGTCGTGTTGTACGTGGTTGTAAAGCACACCGTTCTGTTCGATAACTGCCTGAACTGACTACCGCACAGAACCGCCGTCATGGGAGATACTTCCTCGCCTGTACCTAATTTGACCATGGCGACCTTGCATCTCGAGGAGCTTGACTTCATGATTGAACGGTATGGCGATCGACCATTCGCCTTCGGGACATGCCCAACGGCCCTATTTGCTGAGATCATTAAAATCAACTACCTTCGCGTCCGGGCCACGAAGAGTGACCCCGAAGCGCCCAGCGTCCTCGTCGACGATGCGTATGAAATCCTTAACCGAATCCATGGCTTCTCTCCCGACCAGTGGGCCGAGCCCAAATTGGCGTCCCACGCAGAATGGGCCCTTCTAGGAAACATCCACCAGGCGGCCGTGGCTCTATACTGTATACTTTCTCTACAAAGCTTAGCCATCCTCCCTCAAAGCTCCTTCCTGCAACACCATTGCATCGCCCATGCTCAACTTCTGCAGAGGCTTCTGATTGACGCGTTGACTTCCCACCGATTTGAAAGATTCATCATCTGGGATCTAGTGGTGCTCGGCGTGGCGGCAGTAAATGACGCAGGAACCCGGTCTTTTGTACGGGAGCAACTACCACAGTTAAGTCGCTCTACCGGCACATATGCACCTCTCATGGCGGAGACTCTTTTGGAGAGATTCTGGGCGTCAGGCGAGACGCATTGGGATGCGTGCTTCGATCAGCCTTATACTTTTGCCATGAATATGTCTGTGGATGTTAGTGGATTGCGGTAGTTAATCTGCGCTTAGTGTGTTTTCTCAACCCTTTTAGTTCTACACGTTTTTCTCTTTTCATATTGGCTCAGTTATGGATAGTTTCTTGTCACATGTGTTGCATTCTTGTCCAATAGAAGAAAGAAGTCCAAACCACATCTGGAACGGGTCTGTGCCCAGGGGATGCCAACAGAGGTCACTGATTGGCGCTGTTAAGACTGTGTCATGCCACAAGATAGTCGAGTCAGAACATATCCAGGTTGTGGAATCATGACAGAAAAGATCAGTAGGCGCGGTCACATTCAGTATGAATGTAAGAGATACAGCCAGGGCTCTGTATTCCACAAGACCAAAAGATCATATAATTTGGGATCAACGATCCTGAATGCCCTGGAGTCATCTATATAATATACCGCCGTTGCAACCGCCGTTACAGTGAAGTGGAAGGTTGCCACACCCATTGGTGTTGCCTTTGCGAGGACAAATTCGATGAAGATTTTATGTACACTCATATAAATGTAGTCCATGGCACAATATATGATCAGGACAACGAGCGTTATAATGATATTGACGATTAATGTGTTATTAGCTGAAATGAATATAGTTCTTCTGATGAAGTGATGGCGCTCATAGAGGTATTCAGTATCCATTCGCGAGTATTTTGATTTAGGATATTTATTTTATTCTATCCAGTGCGGTAAGCTTGGAGATACTATCTTGAACTTATGTGTGTGCATTGAATACTACGTTCACGTTCTGGGCTCGATATATCTTTTCTACAACAGGACCAAGAACAGCATTGGGCATCGAACTCTATCGATTCATGTGGTCTCTTCAGACACGAAAGTATAGTGTACTAGTCTAGAGAACATAACATGAATAATTAGACCGAGCTAGCTTATATGTCTAAAGATCTAGCTAGAGTATGAGCAATGAAAAAACATATATGTCGCCCGTAGAGAGTGTTGTGTTCCAGACCTTATGGTTTTTATGTGTGCACTTGTCGCTAAGAGCTGGCCTGACTGATTAAACACACACACACACACACACACACAAAAAAAGGGATCCATAAAAGAACAGAGGTTATACACAACAGCAAAAAAGATGTTGACGAGAGTGGGATTTGAACCCACGCCCCTTTCGAGACTGGAACCTTACTCCAGCTGAGAGATTATTAGTTATTTGTTCGACAAGATAAGTATTTATAGTGGTACTAACCGCCTTAGACCGCTCGGCCATCTCGCCTTGGTTGGAGTCTTGGTTTCAGAATGCAATTTGTAATCCCAAAGAAGCACAACATGATTTAACGTCGACATTACAGCGTAGACCCGACGAGCCCCGCACACAGAATACTACTCCACCAATACGCTCTACGGCGATGTCTTGCACGAATGCAAGAGCAGTATATGTGGAGCTCAAAATGATGTGCAGTGGCAAGTGGTCGTGTGTGTGCACTGCCTCTTCACGACCCACCAAAGGTCCGAGGCCAGTCTCTGACGCCACGACTGCGACGAACACGGGCAGAGACTCCCTCCCACGTGGGCTAGGAAATGGCTCACTTGGTATTTCGAAACGTCGGTTAATCATGACCTTCGAGCAATTTCCCCGAAGTGGCAAACGCCCTCGTGAATAAGAACTCATGCCAGGTGTGAAGGTTTCCGCCAAGTCACGCGCCGAGCTACTAAGATGGGCTTAGGGATCTCTTCTCACCGGTGCAGCAACCCTAAACGATATCTCGAACCTCACCCTCGACCAGAAGATCAGGAACGTGCTCGAGAGGGCCTTCTGATTGGGTGTCATCCATCCCCAGTACCATTGAATGGCGTCTCGGCAGCACTTGGCGCCAAGTCCGCTCCTCTGGGCACGCTGCGAGCGGAAGATGAGCCGTCGACCAATGTCTGTCAAGCGAGAGCTCACGTTCTCCAGTGTACCAATCATTACCAGCTGGCGTGCCCAGAAGAGGTGCAGCAATTCGATGCCTTGGCGTGAAGTCTGTAAGCACGTTCTCGCCGAACGTAGCAGTCCTCCCGACTGCAGTCGAGAAGGGTTCCTACTTAATACTCGTCCACCCGTAGAACAGTGTTGAGGTGCAGAGATATCCAGTCCTTCCAGACACCATCAGATTCCTACCAATCCTTCTCCCCGCCCTCCACATTACCTTTCGGTGCGGTTCGGCACGCCGCCCAACATGATTCCCGCCATTACCGCAAAGTATGACTGGATTTTGGCAGTGACCTCGATTGCCTTCGTCTTCAGCGCCTTCGGAAATGGTGCGAACGATGTGGCTAACTCATACGCAACGTCCGTGGCTGCCCGGACCCTGGAGATGTGGCAGGCTGGTATCCTCGCTACCATCACAGAGTTCGTCGGTGCCGTGGCTTTGGGTAGTCGTGTGACATCGACCATCAAATCTGGCATTATCAGTCCCGACCGCTTCATGGGCAACCCCGGTACCTTCATGTTGGCCATGGGCTGCGCGGAGGTTGGAAGTGCCGCCTGGCTGATGGTGGCTACGCACTACGGGTGGCCGGTATCAACCACGCAGACCGTTGTCGGGGCTTTAGTCGGTGTCGGATTCGCTACACAAGCAGAAATTTCCTGGGGATGGAAGAGTGGCAGTGTGTCCCAAATCGCAGCATCGTGGGGTATCGCCCCAGCTGTAGCTTGCGGCTTCTCGGCTCTCATCTTCGGTACCCTCAAGTATAGCGTGCTGGAGCGGAAGGATTCTTTCAAGTGGGGCATGCGTCTCATTCCCCTCTACCTCTCTGTGACTGGAGCTATCCTCGCCCTGTTCATTGTTGTCGAGGCCCCTACTGCCCCCTCGCTCGAGGAGTTTGGTGCCGGTAAGGCCGTCGGTATCATCCTCGGCGTCTTCTTTGGCTGTCTCCTCATTTCCTACGTCTTCTTCGTCCCCTACTTCCACCGTCGCCTCGTGAAACAAGACCCTCGCATCCGAGCCTACCACATTCCCCTCGGACCCTGGCTCCTCAAGGATGACTGCCCCCTCTACTGGCCTGGCAAGGGTGACAAATTCGTCACCAACTACTACGAAGACGCCCATGGCGAAGTGCGCGCCGGCCAGAAAGACAGTGAGAAAACATCCGGTCAGAAAGAGACGAACATTTCCGACATCGAGCGCACCGCCGAATCAGCCATGGCTACTCCCCAGATCCAACCGAAAAAGCGCATCATCGGTCCCCATGAGCGCTTCCTCGAGCCTGTCAAAGACCTCTCCTGGTTCAGCCCGGCCAAATACTGGGGCTGGACCAAATTTATTCTCCTCCAGGGTGTCACCCGTGATGTTATCACCCACGACTCCGAGCACCTTCGCGCCGTCCACGCCCGTGCCCACCGGTACGACGACCGCGTCGAGCATCTCTGGACCTACTGCCAAGTTGTCTCCGCCATGATGATGTCTATCGCACACGGCTCTAACGATGTCGCCAACGCCGTGGGACCCTGGGCTGGTTCGTACGCTACCTACCTCTCCGGTGCGGTGAACACCAAATCGGAAACCCCTGTCTGGTTCCTCGTCATTGCTGGTCTGCTCCTGGGTGCCGGATTCTGGTTCTACGGTTACAACGTGATGCGCGCGATGGGTAACAAGATCACCCAGATGTCGCCCACCCGTGGCTTCGCCACTGAGCTCGGAGCCGCCGTGACTGTCCTCTTGGCGTCGAGACTGGGTCTTCCTGTGTCTACCACTCAGTGTCTCACTGGAGCCGCTACCGGTGTCGCTCTCATGAACTTCGACATGGGCGCGATGAACTGGCGCCAGCTCGGATTTATCTTCATCGGCTGGATTTTGACCCTGCCTTGTGCTGGATTGGTTGCTGGACTGATATGTCTGATGGCTTTGAATACCCCGCACTTTTAATGGCTTTCTGGATTGATAAAAATGGGACGTTGATGGCGTTTTCTTTTTTGTATAGAGACTTCGGGTTTGTGCTTTGGATTGCTTTCACTACTTTATACCCCCGTTAATCAGATAGAGTTGAATGCTGAAAAATTATTTCCATATATACACTGCCTCTCCCTCGCTATACCACATAATTCTTTTCCATCTAAAAAGTCTTGGGTGCGGTTAACCAGTACCTTGCGGACGCACCTAATAACGATCGACACCAGGAACAAGCAGATCAAAACTATCCCCAAGGTTAACATCTACAAGGTCCCTACCGAGCCGAATATAACTTCACAATGAACTCGAAGCAAATCATCCGCTTTCCGAAACCACGCGCCCCAAAACCCTCGTTCTCAACCCCCTCAAAATGAGACCGCACGCCCTCCTTCCCTTCCTCCTCCCTCTAACCACCGCGACACCCAAGCTGCAAGACTTCGATGCCCTCGGCGCTTGGTTCGACGGCGTCAACGCCATAAACACCACCACAAATGGAGCACACAGCCCCACAAATAAAAACACCACGATTGCCATAGTCGGCGCCGGCATCTCAGGCCTCACGACCGCCCTCCTCCTCGATAGCGTCGGAATTCACAATTGGGAAATACTTGAAGCGAGTGACCGGGTGGGAGGACGCTTCCGGACGAAACTCGTCGGGGGCACGGATGAATGGGCCGAAATGGGGCCCATGCGGCTGCCTGTCAGGGTGCGGTATAACGATGGCGAGACGGTGGAATACTCGGACCATGCAATGGTGTTTCAGCTCGCGGAGCTGTTGAATAACATGAATGGGAACGAGAGTCAATGGAAGGTCGATTTTATTCCGTGGATACAGCATCATGAGAATGAGTTGCTGGCACGGGGGACGGGTCGGTTGGCTGATGGGTCTATTCCGACGCGGGGCGAGGTATATGGGAATGAAACTGGGCTGGGGACCAAGGACCCCATGACTACGGCTGAGTACGAGAAGACCAAGAGCAAGATGGAGCAAATTTTGAGTGCGACGGACATGCTGAAGTTCATTCAGAAGGATGTGTGGCGGGCCCATCGGGCTGTCATGGATCGTGGATTGGACGAGTGGAGCGAACAGGCGATGATGAAGCATGTGTTTAACGCTAGTGTGAATGTGACCGATGCCATTTGGACAGGTAGTGATTATGATATATTCTGGGACGAGATGCATCATAATTCGAACCTTGGGTTGGATGGGAGTCCTGGTTCCTTGGGGGAAACGGAGTGGGTTTGCATTGATCGTGGATTCAACCGGTTATCAGATGCGTTTTTGCCGCATGTGAGCGATCGGCTTGTTCTCGACAGGAAGATCCGGAAGCTGGAGACTGTTGATCACCCTGATGGACGCATACAGACGCGCTTGTCGTGGTATCCATCTGTTGGAAATCGGACGTACGAGAGCAAAACGTATGACTACACAATTATGGCGGTGCCCTTTACCATGACTCGGTTCATGGACTTGCCTACGTTTTCTTCAGTCCTGGGCCGCGCAATCAGTGAAGCTGGATTGCGGTTCAAGTCTGCCTGTAAGGTGGCTCTGCTCTTCTCGGAACGCTTCTGGGAAAAAGGTGATAAACCTATTTTCGGGGGCTATTCTACCCCGCCGAGCAACTCGGTTGGAGCGTTGTACTATCCCGTCTACGGACTGAATGAATCCCGCCCGGGTCTTATCATGCATTACCGTGGTGGAGATTGGAGTGATCGGTTCGTCAGTTTCTCAGATGAAGAGCATGTGCAGACTGTGCTGGATGCTGTGGTTTCACTGCATGGGGAACAGGCCCGTGAGCTGTATACTGGTGATTATGAAAGACTCTGCTGGTTGCAGGATGAGCATACTGCTACCTCATGGTGTCGGCCTGATGTCGAGCAACATCGGCTTTATATCCCAGCTTATCATCAGACCGAACATCATACGATCTTCATCGGAGAGCATACGGCTCCGACGCATGCGTGGGTGAGTAGCTCTTTACACTCGTCTGTAAGGGGTGTTGTGCAGTTGCTGTTGGAGCTGGGACTTGTTGATGAGGCGAAGAAGCTTAATAAGGAATGGATGGGGAGATGGATTCGGTAGGGCAACCGCAGTAGCTGCATATCAACCTGGATCCGAGAGATGTTGCCATTTACTTCTAGTACCTTGCGGGACATAGTAATGATAATTACGGAGCAATGGACAAGCCAAAGGCTATATTCTGATGACCAAAATGATATTAGCGGCGCTATCTATTTTGAGCGTGAGAGAAAGAAGTGATGTGGGAGTGAAGAAGAGTGGCCTTCGTCGGCGGTTATCGAAGGCATGATGGTAGCGGCTAGTACTGGCAGTAAGGTTGGCTTGGGGGGAAGGATTGGTAGAACTACCAGCATAAGCGCTGTGTCTGTCAGCCTTGGCTGAGCGTTCATGGGCTCTATTCTAAGGTCGAAAGTGTCTGCAGGGTACGAAGTTAGTACGCACGGTCGGTTGCTGGGAATTAGGAAACCTTTCGCGATTGAGCAAGATAGACCGGAGTTGCATCTTTAAATGTTCAGGTTTCTGGCGTGCAGTATGTCTTTTGGTCGATTCATTAATGTGTGACACATTGGTTAGAACAAAATGCAAGCATGGTAGACGTACAATACTAATATAGGTATGGATCATGCTAGGGTTTGAACCGCGGATAGCTCCAGTATTTAAACCGTCCTTCCAAATTTAATAGCAAGTTGCTGGATAATACTACCCTAAGTGCCATTTTTATATCTCTGTAAAGATATTCTTGGGCTACAAAGACGTTGTTACTCTTCCTCAGTACAGGTAAAGTATAAACCATTCTACATATAGGAAGTTGGAGCCTGTGCATGAAGCCCGCCCCGACCCACCCTAATAACAAATCTACCTATGCTCACGCTGTGGCTCGATCCCAGCCAATTGAAAGATAATGTATATATGACGGCAAACGCTGAAATTAGACACGCTCTATACTGTAAATTGTAGACGCAAGAAACAGGCAAAAAGACCAAGGTACCAACCTCATCACCCCTTCTACTACCATGTCCTATCGTACAACTGATCCTCTCCTTCCTCCCTCCCCTCCAATTGACGCATTGCCAACCTCCTAGCAGCAGATCGCAAAGCGGGATGTCTCGCATCAACAATTGGCCTCACAAACCGCGATACACCACTCTCGCCCTTCCCCTCTTCAACAACAGGGAACCATGTTTCCCCCATTCCCGTCGGTTTCGAATTAATATAGATATTCTCCCATTTCCCCTTAGGCACAATGTATGTCTCATGATAAATCGCAATATGCGGATGATCCTTCACGATCTCCGTCCACCACCTCATGCCCTCCACATGGAGCGAGCCATGCGCAAACCGATGCAACGCATCATAATCTCGGAGATAGTAGATTGACATAACGTCATTACCCGCAGAATCGTCCTGCTTAATCCAGGCCGAGCTGCCGAGGAGGCCGTATTTGACAGGATTGGAGTTCATCTCACGATTCATCGCGATGACTTGTCGATTGAGCTCGGGGAAGCCTGGGGCGAGAAGACCAAGGGGGTGGTTTGAGCGGGCTCCGAGGTGGAAGACCACAATCGACTCAGAGGCGAGTTCCTTTCCGAAGGTGCCGTCTGTATTGGGCGCTTGCGCGGAGAATTTTGTCTGGATGACGCCGTCCATGTAGCGGTTTCGGGTTATGTTGGCAGCCATCAGCAAGTGATCGGTTGTACGGTATAGTAGGATTAGTATTGTAGGGATGAGGGCATAGGTGCTGAAGACCATGACGGCCAGGCCTTGTAGAAGTCCGCCCAGAAGAAGCCATGTTGAAAGGGTTAAATTGTCGCGAAATGCTACCGATGTCAAGGGCCGGATTCGTGGGGGCTGAAGTATTCCCCGAGAGTTTGTCGACTCTTTTGACACGGTAAATGGTGGTAGCAGAGGCTTGAATACCGTCATTGTAAAAATATTCTCCACCTCAGAGTCTATAAATGTATCTGGTAATTGGAAAGCGAGAGTTAGGTTTGAGAAGTACTTGAGCCAAAAAGCGGCGTGCTGCTTTATATCCAGCTTTTTCGCTCTCTGCGCCCCCAACGAACATGCATATATCCGTCGGACTTTAACAAAAACGTAATTTGCCGATATTAGACCCGCTGCAGCTTAGCAGTAATGTACTAATGGCTACTACGTGGTTGGCAGGGTGCAGCGTTAGGCCTCCCAATACCGAGCCAAACATTCATATAATTGGCCAGGGTCTGTGGCCACGGTAAGCCCTATGTTCAACGCCCTCAGGCAACAGTTTCCCATATTTTGTATATTAACATCCCATAGGTGCCCATGTTATCACTGGACATGAATGCCTGGTAAAGCCGGGACACACCGTTATGATATCCTCGGGCTCCGAGTAGCACGTCCAGCGTCATAACATTATGTCAAATACTCCACTTATACAGAGACTTCCATCAGCGCTGAGTGATTCCGCAGGGTTTAACCTCGGATTAATTATGCTCAATGTCTCGTCTTGGAGCAAATCATGACTTTGTCATGACACAAATAAAACGAAACATATTATCGTTGGAGTTGTTGTCCCAAGACGGTAAGGTACCACGGATGCTCCAGTAGTTTTTCTCAGGATTTCTAAATGTATAAAGGGCTTTATGGTTTGAGCAGAAAGTGCCGTCTAGAGTTTGGGTTGGCTCACGTTGCTCTAAAATCATCAGTGGAACATACGGCTAGGACATGTGAACAAATATGTACAGAGAAAGTAGAATTCAATCCCTGACTACCAAGTCACTCTCCGCCCTCCTTGTCCATTCCATCCAGCTCCCATCATACACCCTCCGTTCCATATCATAACCAGTCGCCTGTATTGATAGATCCAATGCAGCAGCAGTCACTCCAGAATTGCAAGTCAAGATAACCGGGGTACTAGCACTAAGACCCGCCTTCTCAAAGAGCTCCTTCAGTTCTGACAGGGGCAGAAAAGCCTTCGACTCCGCATCCAACATCGCTGCCAACGGAATATTGACTGCAGAAGGCATATGCCCCGATCGGAGAGTGGGATCCGCTTCTTCCTGTGTGCCCGAAAACCGACCAGGGATTCTGGCATCTATGATCTGGTAATTCCCTGCTTGGTGCAAAATTATGTTTCGCAATTCCTCAAATGCGATCACTTGGTTCGCAGCTGGTTCGTGAGCAGGGTATAAAGTTTCCGGAAGCAGCGCCATCTTTCCTTCTTCAACAGGATACCCTTGTTCCGTATACAGACGGAAGTTGTTCAAGACATGTACCGAAGTTTGTCCAAAGAGGCGACAGGCCCATGCTACGCGTGGTGCGCTGTACATGCCGACCTCGACTGCGTCGTAGACGACCAGGATGTCATCCGGTTTTACACCCATTGCCCCCATGCACTGGGCGAAGTGACTCGCTGTGGGAAGCATTTGGGGGTATGGTGATGTATTGTCTGCTATGACATCCATATCAAAGAAGCTGTTCCTTTCTTTAGACACGGTATGGTAGGTGGGGTGACAACTTGACCTACACTGAACCTGGTATATGCTGTTTTTCGTAGGACGAACGCAGTGCCTCTCGCCCTGCCGCCACTGGAATGATGCGGCGGGTCGTTGATCCTCTAGCATTGTGAAATTGTTCTGGACTTACCAGAATGGAGGGGAAGGGATCGGTGGACATTGTAATGCGGGGATGTGCCTATGAAGCAATGGCAGGGAGATGTATAATTTTGCACCGTAACAATGCTTAAATCTAGACAAATGCTTTATGAATCTTCAACTAGAGTGTTTAGGAAGATATGAAGCATCCTTGTCTCCCAATCCTAAATACAAGTCCGCTTTGCTGCTGGTACCTGAAACACAATTGAAGATCGAACCAATGTGGGATTGATTCATTATGCTTCTACTTAGTCATGCTGCACGTGACGCATAACGGTGAATGCTGAAAAGCATGGAATTCTTGGCATTTGACATTTTGGATTTCAACATTTCAACTCTTTCACATTTGAATCACACTTCGTCACCTTTTAACTTGTCATTTCCTGAAATATTTTGTTGGAATGATGGAGCCATATGGTGTATTTCACTCAAAATGCCAGTACTAGACGATATTGATTCACATTGCAGTTGTATCTCATAAATTTCATACTTGAATTTCATACTTGAATTTCATGACATTTTGAAAAATCCCCAATCCTCATCTTATCGACTCGTGGCTCCACGTACTAGTATGACCATGATGTGCTTGGCCGCTACGTACTTCTCTGATGCTTTTTAGCTCCCAGAGATATCAAGTTAGACCAACTGCTGTTGTAGGTTCTATATTGGAAAGACCGGCTGCTTGCAGAGCGCTGTACAGCAAGGTCTCATTCTGAGAAATTTCCTGTCTCTTTGGCATGACACAAATGAGACCTTTCGAATGGTTGGACAAGATAAAATGTCCTTATACAAGAAATTCTTTAGCCTTTTTACCCTAGCCAAAAACATTCGACTGGCTGTCCAACATATCCAGTAACCACAACAAGTCATCTGCGGGGCTAGACTTTTGTCCACGAGTTTATATACCCATTCTGCCAGCACGGTACCTAATATAAAAAAAACACCATTTGGCACGGTCACGGTAAGATAGTCAACTCCATTCTGTATATCAAATTAGCTCCTGAGAAACATAACCATTCGCGGTAAATACATGTCGCCATTCATCTCAATCATATCACACTCGGGCTCCCAACCAATGTCACTGATTAAGAGTCAAATCCAAAATGATCTTCCCCCTAGCATGTCCCCCATCCAACCTCGCAAAAGCCTCCTCAAAAAGCTCCAAAGGCCAAATACTATCCACAGCTGGCCGGCACTTCCCGGCCTCAACAAGCTTCGTAATAGCCTCAAGATGCTCCCTCTTTGGCTCCATGATAAAGAACAAACTCTTCACACGCTTCTCCTCCAACCCCTCCGGTCGAACCTGCTCTGGAGGTTGGAAGATGCTAACCACAACACCCCCATCCTTCACACACCACCACGCATCCGCCAGGGACTTGCCCCCAACACAATCAACCACCACGTCAACCGGGCTCCCCGGCTCCTGTGCCCACGCCCGCAAATCGGTCTTGCGATAATCAATGACCTCACTTGCCCCCAATCCCTTCACAAAGTCCACATTCCTCGATCCGCACGTCCCGACCACCGTTGCACCAACCAGCCTCGCAATCTGGGTAACCCAGATCCCCACTCCCCCAGAAGCAGCCGTCACCAGAACCCTCTTTCCCTTCCACCCGTCACTGCCAAAGTCCCCAATTCCGCTCTGGACGAATAACGCCTGCCAAGCCGTCTGCGCGGAAAGCGGGACAGCAGTCGACTCCGCCCAGCTGAGTGTCTTCGGTCGATGCGCCAGTTCATCGGTGACGGCGACAGCGTAGTCGCTGGCACAACCGGGTCGAGATAGTTTGTGCGAGCGTAAACCTCATCTCCGACAGAGAAAGGGGAATGGGCGGGCGATTTGACGACTGTGCCGGCGATGTCGTAGCAGGGGATTTGAGTCCGGGGCTTCGGCGGGGCGAAGTATTTGAGCCAGTTGAGTTCGTTTGCGCAGGGGGAGACGCAGTGGACGCGAATCAGGTGCTCATTGGCGTTGAGGTCTGGGACTGGGGTACCCAGAGTGGTTTGGATGAGGCGGGTTTCCTGGCTGCTGGGCTGGAGGAGAGCACGCATTGTGTGGGGGAGGGTTGCGGTGGACATGTTTAGTAAGGTTCTTTGGGGTTTGAGTGGGTTATGCAGTATTTAGGTTTTGTATTTCTGCAGATTTTGCGATACTCTTTGGAGTTTGGCATGTCTTCGTCGCATGATCTCGTATTTATGTCTTTGGTGAGTTTTCAGGAATAGCCTTTGGGGATATCCGGCTGTGGGAGGGTAACGGAGGTCATGAGAGTGATACCCGACGGGATGTTCATTTGTCAGAGGATATTTGGTCTGGAACGATAAATAAAGCAGGTATAAGGCAGTGAATGCTTGCGTTTGAAGATTCCACGGTCTCCCAACGTTCTAGACACGGAAAATGTTGTTCTCGACTCGACGGTGGCTGTTCCCGATTAGCCTATTGCACCTCGTGTTGCGAAAAGCACCCGACAATGAAATACGACGCCTCTCCGTGAGTAGTTAGTGGACTGGAAAGAAAAAGCGATTCGCCCTTAGAGAATTTCGAGAAGAGGGTATGGTCATATTACTGGCTGGTTATATTATGCACTTCCGTTCAGTAATTAGGCCGTATACTTGCTCTTCTTCTGATATCATTGATAGACACACTGCCCTTGATACACCACTACTAACGTTTAGTAAGGCGGGGGAAACGATTGAATATGGCCATTAGCGTCCAGACAATACACGAGAGCAGGGTTACGCCCCAAAACTCGGGAAACAATCTCTCTCCAACCCCTGATAGTCCCTTTCCCCCATCAGCATCAGCCAGTACTAGATTCCTCAATGCGCCCGTGTTTTGACGGGCATAATAATACACACAAGCTCCTTGGCGATGTACGGCAGGCCATAGAGGCCATAGAAGAAGTAAATGGGCGCATCGCACCTCTGTCTCTGAAAATCAATCTGGAAGGCGGTGAAACTCGGGCCCTCTTCGGTGCAATCAGAGCTTATCTCCATCAACGTCCCGGCCCCTCCCGGCTCAACACCATTTTCCCAAAGGGGACGCTGCACTGCGAGACCTGAGACATGTTCAAATCTCTCAGGTTCTCCTTCAATCATCTTTGCATGCGATCCTGTTTTTAGATTACAAGTTCAAGCTATCAGCGTAAAATCAGGTACAGGGCTTAGTAGAGAACTTCTCTACACCACCCACTCTCTAAATATATATATCGACTCTTTCCATCTACGTCATGATTCAGGCAGGTTGGAAGTGGCCTATATATATTATCATTGTAGGTAATTGTCATCTCGCATCCAACTTCACTATACTTGAACCTCGTAGCGCACTGCCTTGATTAGGTTAAATCTAAATATCAAGTAGATGAACCCCCCGCAAGCTAGGCCGCAGAGGTGACGTGGACTCGGAGGCTTACTCTATATAAATATTTCAACCTGCCCACCCAACGTCTTCTTCAACTGCATATTCCGACCCACTAACCGCACCCAATTAACCATAAACAACCTCATAACAAACATGGCCTCCTCCAAAACCCCAGGCCCAATCACGGAGCTAGCTCTATTTCACCTAAAGCCCTCAACCGACCGAGCAGCCATCAAACGGGAGCTATCGTCGGCGGCAAAGGCACAGGCCTCTTACTCCAAGTACCCTACTCACCTGTTCGCCCAGATCGAAGACCCATCATACATCTACCTTCTCGGAGGCTGGAGTTCAGTCTCAGCCCACATGGACGATTGGATACCCAGTTCTACAAACCAGTCCTTAGTTGCCTCTCTAAAGGAGAAGTTAGATCTTGTGTACATGGTCCATATTGACATTGATCCTGCTGAGCTGGGTGTGTTTGGATTGTCTGCCGGAAGGTCTGCAGAGGTACCGATAGTTGATGCCCCTGTGATCGCTATCGGGCGTTACTTCCTGCAGAGTGGTAAGAAGGAAGCGTTTTTAAACAGGTTTGAAGAGACCAAGAGGCACTTGGAGGCGTGGATTGCTCCAAGGGTATTGAAGGGTGGAGTTCGGGTGGCACCCAAGGATAGAAAGGATGATGGTGTGGAACAAGAGGAATTTGTGCTCTTCAGTGGTTGGGGAGAAGTGAAGGATCATTTTCAATTCGCAGAGTCGGATGGGTTCAAGGAATTTAGTCAGATAAAGGACTTTTTGGAGGGCGCAGAGATTAAGCATGTTTCTATTTGGGAGAACTGAGGGTCCTGGTATTAATGAGTGATATGACGGGGGACTAGTTTGTGACACTTCAATCAGTCAACGGGGTTTTCCTTCCTAAGGTTAGGACAACTGAGTTTAACCATCTAATGGTGAAAGTTACGCCTGGGCTCTGTATCTTTCGGGTAACTATTAAACAACTATATTGCTAATATTAATCAATACGATGACTTGAGGCAGAGTCATGTAGATTAAGCTATATCCAGAAGTAAATATCAAGGCGTTCACCACGCCATTTGGCCAATTTCCACCCATTTCACGGGTGGCTAAACGGAGGAATGCTCAGACTATTAGCCCCGTACCAAGAGCTGCTTCTCCTTCTTGATCTGCTTGACGACTTCAATATCGACCTTCAATGTAGTTGCTACGATATCGGCAGGAGTGAGGGCAAGCCACTGCGCCAATGAGATATCAGCCACACGGTCACTCTTGTAAATCTCGATCCACACCAGCTTCTCGGTCTCGGAGGTGTTCTCAATATAATGACCTATTATCAAAACTCAGTTTCATATAGTAGGCAACATGGGTAATGATTGCTCACCACTATTATCAGGGAAAACGGCGGTGTCACCGGCGGTAAAATCGAAAGTGCGAGCCTTGGAGTCACCTAAGAACACGGTAGCGCGAGCATTACCCTGGTGGAAATACAGCCATTCCTCCGCCTGTAAATACGTTCAGTGATCGAACTATAGTTTTCGCCGAGGACAACTCACGTTCGGATGCCAGTGCAACTCCCGCAGTCCCTTGGGTTCAAGCTCCACCAACGCAGCAGCAATAGTCTGGCTCACGGGGAAGTTCTTCGAGTCAATTTTCCTAAGGGTACCACCACTGCCGGGCACCGGCTCAGAGGGATGCTTGTATGTGTGATACACATACGAACTGTTACCAGTCAATGTGCCTTTGGGGGCCTCGTTCGCCTCTTCGCTAACCGTGCCATTGAGAATGTAAGGGAATTTTTCGGGCACTTTATCGAAGACTGATGGGTCGACGCCGAAGTTCTTCGCGAGGATGTCGCGCGGCGTGTGGGTGATCCAGTCATCGACCATGAAAGTTGTCCTTGAATTGTTTCTTGTCAGTATCAGGTCTTCTGGGGGAGTGGAATGACACTCACCCAACTTTCTCAAAGTCACCATCATCAAAGACTAGAAGGTATTCATTCTCATCATCAAGGCCTTGCACATTGTGCGCAACACCTTTGGGGAAATACCAGATGTCGCCTTCTTCCAGCTTTTCGGTCGTGAACTGGCCGTTTTCATCCACCCCGGAGAGCAGGAGAGAGCCAGAGTATAGGAAGCCCCATTCCGCCTGGAGAAAAGTATTATTAGACAAGCCTGTTCTTTGTAAGGATAAAGAAGGTAAAGGATGTCACTCACAACACGATGCCAATGAAGCTCCCGAATAGCACCCTTTTTCAGATGCTGCTGCGCACCTGAAATATCATGGCTCTGCGGCAGATCCTGGATGACTTGCTCGCGTACCCAGCCACCTGGAAAGAGCCTTGTTTTGGAGTCGGAAAAGCTCCATTTGAGGTTAGGTACGAAGCCGTTGTCGGTACTAGGTTGGCCAAGGTTATCGGGGTTTTGGAGGTCCAGTGCCTTGTTCGTGCCGCCTGTAATTGCGCATGTGAGGATTGCCCGTGAAGGGCAGCTTTATTGAACTTGGGGACTCCCAGTCTTACCTAAGAGCGGTGCTCCTTTGCCGTTGTCACTGATGGGTTGGCCGTCCTTAAAGCCGGAACGCTTGTCATGGACGACTGCTCCGAGAACGTTCGGCAGAATGCTAATGAATGCGAGGCTCGCGGCCTTCATGGTGGGGGATATCCTTGGATGCGAAACTTGTAGCCGCAAATAAACTCGCGAAAGGGGAGCTTGGTAAATGACTATGGGATCCTAGATGGTGATACATTTATCAGATAAATACTTTTGTATCTAGCCCCTCCCCCTGGCCCATCTCGAGAATCCATAATCACGACATATTCTCTCCATTCGACGAATTTGGTATGTCCGGTGTTTGTGTAGAGCCATCCCACATTTGCAGGAGCAACAGAGTTTAATAAACATTCGCAATGATTTGTTTCAAATGAGGCCATTCACGGTCTAAGCACTGTCTTACTGTAGGCGCAGCGAACAAATCCCTAGCGGCGCAGATCGACATTCCCGATGTATAACGACATGCTTGGCATTGTGATGAAATCCAGGGTCCCCGCTGTACGCTGGGGACTTCGCGAAAGCTCTAACTTACCACCAGGAACCCTCGACTTGGCTAATAAAACTTAATTTAACCTCTAGTTCATGTTTGGTACATAACTTTGGTTCGTAAATCCCTTTCATGCCCCATTGATATCGGCAGTCAAATAACCCTAAATGGAATGGGGCCTCTTCTCGTGGTCTTGGCATGAATAGCACGAATTTGGCTTGTCCACTTCTCAATCACAGAATGATCGCAGATATGGAAGAACATGGTTTGATAATAATAACCCATCCTGAATCTCGTGGCGCTCTTTCTTTTGGAAAGATTTCTGGTTCATTCAAGTAGACTTCTGTAAACACGAGAACGACAAGACGAGAATACAACAAGCTCAAGATGCATTTAACTTCATTAAACTCCAGTAAGCGCCGTGATTCATAGGTTGGTAAGCGGCTTGGCATCAGAAATGACATAGGAGTTACCGGACCTAAGGTTTAAGGAGATCGTCGCTTTGCAGGCATAAAGGTCCGAGTCAGTTCATCTTTACAGGTCGACACGGTCAAATGCTCATATTTACACTCGTATTCGCAATCAACATGGTCTGAATTCCTGACTGAACCTCCGCGCATTGGGTGCGCCTTTTTAGATAGGCTTAGCGGACGAACTGGCCGCCCTTGCATAACCCGATCTGGGTTCCTGAGTAGTATCACGTACCCTGCCCTGCCCTGCATTGACTTGCATATTGACCAATCTGTACCTGATCACGACATCAAGTAGCATGTGAGGCGTGATATGTAAGTGCTGTTTATGTTCAAGCGTACATTCATTAGTGCGCAATACTTGCTGCCCTCGTTATTGTAGATGCCAAGATTCAAACACCGGTGGCCGGACTCAACAGACCGCGGAGCATGTCCTTACTCCTTATCGTTCTTTGCAGTATTCCAAATACTCTCGAGGATTATAATTTCACACCATGTTTGCGTGCTCATGTGTGAAGATGTCGTATGTAGGAGATCCAATGGACCATTAGCTCACGCGAGATGGCATCTTCGGCGTGTTAGTAGGAAAAGTGGGCATGTGAGACGAATATATAAGGAAGTATCTTGCTCAAATCTTCTCATCAGTAAATCAGCTTTCCTTCCATTACCACCCTGGTCTCTCCTTGAACATTCGATATAAGCTTCTACTGAAAATCCTGATCGGGATGAAATCAGCTCTCGTCTACGCGGTCTCTCTGGCCTCCTTCGGAAAATGTATTTCCTTGCCTCCCATAATTCCACTTATTCCAGGAGTCACTGAGCCTCTGACGGAGAATGCCCCTCCTTTGCCCATCTTGCAAGTACCCACGCCTCCTCTGGAGAGCCCACCCTTCACCCCAAGTGACATCAAGCCAAAGAAGATTGGCTACTTTTGGACTGGCTCCGGAGACAAGTTCCATAAGGGTATGTATATGCCGACAGATGATATCTGTACAGGAGCTGATGCGACTTCTAGACTTCCTTGCCACGTACAGTCTTGACGACGTAAGCATCCCCTTCATTGAGATAGAATTCGCACTCAGCTAACATATGCACAGGACACTTTCGGTACTCTTATCTGGATAACGGATGTCCCGTCCAGCGGCAACGACCCGCACCACCTTGGACCATCTCTTGACGGCAAGACCCTAGTTGGTGGTGGGCTCTTGTCGCTGTTGAAAACGCAGGTAAGCTCGCGCGGTACATCCTCCCATCATGCCCATCCTCACAATGTATCAGGATACGGCTTTCTACTTCGACACCACCAACCCCTACCGACCAACATTCAAGAAAAGCAACCGTGCCCTCCTCTCGTCCATTGCAGATGAGATCCGCGCAAAGCCAGATGGCGGATTCTACATTACATACATGGGCTCCGCAGTTGGCACATCGCCAGGACGTCTGGTTGAGACCGACGCGGACTTCAACATCATCCACGAATGGCCCGAAGATGTAGAGGGAACGCTCAACATTCTCGAGGAGCAGTTCTCTCCCCATGGTCTGAGCATCGACTGGGAGAGAAATTTCATTCTCACCTCTGACTTTGTTGAGCCTATCAGTATATTGAAACCAAGCACGGGAATCCGCCGCGGGAACACCCTTAGACTGTGGGATTTGGAATCTAAGAAGATTCTCAACACTATTACTATCCCTGACGTGCGTCATTCCCACATAAAACTCACCTGTTGCTTTCTTGGTTGCTAATAACGACACAGGGCGGCGGTATTCAGGACGTCAAATTCATCCCCGGAAACCCCGACGGTGCTGCTCTCGCCACCGCAGTCCACCTAGGCCAAGTCTGGATCATCTACCCTGGACAGAAAGATGCCAATGGCAAGCCCGGCAGAGCGGAACTTCTCTATGACCTAGGCCCGAAGGCTCGTGATACAGTCGCAATCTAGTACGTCCTCCTTTCAACGGAATACAAATTCCTGCAAACCCACTAACGATATTTCCAACAGTACGGACATTTCCCAAGATGGCCGCTTCATCTACCTCACTCTCACCACAGCAAACCACATCGCAGCCCTGGACATCAGCGATCTAAACAATGTCAAGCGCCTCGACGACCCAGACGAGGATCAGCCAACTGTTGGCCCGCACTATGTCAAGGTGACGCCTGACCAGAAGCATCTGGTTGTCACGGATTATTTCGTGCAGACCGGTGACATAGGGTTGATCAACACTCCGGCTGATTTCAAGGCGCTGTATATCGACTTGAATGAGGATGGTAGCTTGAGCTTCAACCGGTCGATTGATTTCAGTAAGGAGTTTCCGGAGCGAGGTGGCGCGAAGCCGCATTCTAGTGTCGTGTTTGACTTGACGGATCCGGAGAATCCTCTCTATTACTGAGATTGCCGCCTAGGATTCAACGGATTGGAGGATGGTAGGTTTTAAGGGTTAAAAGAGGGGAGTTGGTGGATGACGTGCCTGTAGTATGTTGTGATTCGTTCCCTTTACACATATTCTTCTATTATATTGTAATTCAGAACATACGTTTATTTGGAAATCGCATCTTGTAGATTCTTATTAAATGGAAATAATGTTAACACTAGGCTTGTTTTGTAAGGAATAGATGCAAGGGTATAACAACAGAAAGAAGAAGGGAAAGGAGAAAAGGAAAAAAAGGGAAAGAAAACAAAGGTGGAAAGAAAACCAAAGAAAAGGAAAAGAAAAAGGAAAGAAAGCAACCAGTCCACGCTTCTAATGCACTAGTCCAAGAATGCCGCGATGGAACAGATGAGAGACTGATGAACCATTCTCAACCCAGAAGTATGTGAAGCAAAGCAGGAGGTACACGCTGAATAGAAGATAGATTGGTCAGTCTTAAATGAAACCTGTACATACATTCGCCCTATTCTCCAGTCCGAAGCTCCTCCATACCCGCCAAAAAACAAACAACAGCTGTAGCAAAGGACCTCGCATCATCTTGTCGTTCCTCCACATGTGGACCAACCTGCTCCAGAAACAATGCCAGCTTCGAATCCTTCCATCCGAAGCTCGGCGCGAACTCCAAGCACATGTTCTGCATACCGAACGCGTCCAACTCATAATGACCTTGAACAGACAGAACCCTTCCGGGGTAATACAGTCCCTGAATAGGACAAATGGGTGTGCTTCCGACATTGATCCATGGCGCAGGAAGACAAGCCTTCTCATCAAGCGTGCTAGCAAGTCCCTTCTTAACCGCCATGACACGATCACCATGAACATCTGGATCCTCAGCTGTTCCTGTGGCAAATGACCCAGTGCCAGTGGAAAGGCCTCGACGAAGTTCTTCTCCAACTGAACGGTGTATATGCCCACTTCTCTCCCGAGGGGGCATTTCTCAACGAACACATCTCGCTCAGCGTCGGCCGGGTTTCTCATCAGAGCATGTCCGATAAGCTGGTGTCCGAAGCAAGTACCTAAGATTCGGACCTCTGGGTATTGTTCAAAGACCGTCTTGAGAAATGTCTGCAGGCGTTGCATCCAGGGCGATATGTCCATTTCGTATACACCAGGTGCACCGCCAGTGATCAAGACGGCATCGATTTGAGAGGTATCGGGGTAAGCAAGGTGGTCGGGATGACCTCTTAGCTTGCGCAGGTCAGGATAGTGTCCTCCTCGGATGTCATATGGAGTGACGGATATGTCGATGGGGTCATTGTGGACTAGGGAGGTCTCGTTCAGACGCGAGGCAGTCTCTTGCAGGATATTACGAAAGTGAGCACTGCATAGGCCGTGTGATTCATAAAGTTTGCGAGGGGGGATATCAACGTCGAGGACGGCAATGTGGATGCTGCGAACCATTTTGGCGTTAGAATTATGCTCAGGAACGGTACGGTGTGGACTGTCAGGAGTTACTCGGGGAATTGGGAGAGAAGTCTCCTGTTATATACACTCACCCCGACTCCACCTTTTTGCTGGGGCGGTCATTGAGAATTGCGCTAAAGGTAACGGATTTTGTCCCGAAATTGCGATGTAAATTGGATCCATATTAGCAGTCTCCAAATGACTCCAAACGAAAGTCCAAAACTATAGAAATTCATGTCCAAATAAGCTTAACCTTGCTTACCGATGTGCCAATCAGGTTAGATGTTGACCCCGTGGGGTCTCGATCCTTACCTAACAGTTGAGTCTTATTGGAAGGTCTTTGAATTCATTACCAAATTATTATTATTCATACCCAATTTTGTTGCTAATGGATTGATTTCTCCCTTGCCGATATGTTCCGACCTGAGGAAAAATGGGGGTAATGAATATTGATTAGTGGTTGGCGTCCGTTGAAGTGGAGTCCAAAGAACACCTTTATTTCAGTTAGAGTTACGAAATAGCTTAGCTTAGGCCGTATTCGGCTCCCTCTATTCCTGTACTTCAGGCGTAGCCGGACTTGAATGAGAAGCCAACACCCCTCTCTGGCGTGCTTTTGGACTTATTGCCCGCATTTCCAATGGCTGTGAGCTACACAGTATCCGACCCCAGTGCCACCGTCTGGGTATTATTAATTCCTCGTGCGCCGGGTCCTATTCCGTCTTGTCCTCGGTACCAACGCACTGGTCAAACCAGAAGTTGAATTTTGGCCAGGCTAGCAACAGAAGACGTACCCTAACTGTACTGTACATTCTCAGGAATGGCAGTGCTAGACCTAAATAACTGAGCCCGTCACTTACGCGATGATGGCGACGAATTGTGTCGGGAATAAACGCTGTATCCTTATTCCTCAGTCCATCATGATCCATCTTCCAGTATCCAATTTTTTCCCAGACCCCACCTTACCTAACCCTCTTATACTTTTTTCGTCATACCAGGTGACCTTCTTCACAGGAGGAGGCTGTTTCAACACACATCAAAACTGAACCGGTTTCAGGACATGTGTCAAAATAGGGCTTACTAAACCCCGGGTCGCCAAGACTTCGACCAGGATTGAGTTCCAAACAAGGTTAGTCTGGGGTAACGTGGCTGGCGATCAACAGATACAGGCTGGGACGTGCACCGCTTCAACCTCAGCCTCGCCCTCAGTGGGGTAATAAGTAAATACACCTTCATGTCTACTTTCCCAAGAAGTAATCAGGCATAGATGCAACGAGGGATGGCGGCATCCCAATTCTTCCATAGACTTTTCAACCGTGATAACCGAGACCCAGAGTCACCAAGGCCATTGTCATTATCAATACCAGGCCCAGCTCCGGCTCCGGCTCCGGCTCCAGCTCCAGCATCAGCCTCAATCAACAACATCCCTAACTGGTCTCGAGCCGTCCTAGAATCGGTCGGTATTGACCACGCTACTTGCCGTGTTAATGGGTCTCCTACTGATTCCAAACATCTTCCAACCCTCCCGCCAGACCACTGCTCCCTGTTGTCTACATTAAGTGACAACAGACACCATAATAGATCATCATCCGTAGCGATTCAGCCGCAGAGTCAAAGTCCATTCTTTTCCCGTCTTCCACCCGAGGTACGCAATCTAATATATCTCTTCGCCTTTGGGAACCGCCGAATTCATCTCGACTTCGACTTCAACCCCCAACAAGGCCAGTGGAGATGGTGGCATCGAGTATGTGACGATGCTGAAAATTGCCTCGACAAAACGTTCCAATGTCCTGAGTACGCTGGCGCTGAAGAGGCGATGCTGAAACTCGCCTCACGCTCCTGGGTGAAGGAGGGTTTCGAGTATAAACTAGACGCGGTGAATTGGCTAAGATGTTGTCGGAGAGCGTGAGTATCTTAATGCCGACTCTAACCATGAATGATTGCTCATTAATCTACAGATACATAGAAACCCTCCCTATATTTTACACTTCTAGCACATTCGTTTTCACCCATGGTATCGATCAGCTCTTCCGCCTGTCATGCGTGATGCCGCCGGACCATTTGGCACTCATCGTATCTCTCTCTGTTGAGATCGATATCTACCGCATCATAAAGCGGCCTCCTCATGTAGACCCACAATTTAAGTCTTTTTATGACAAAGTCTTTAAGATTGTCCTCTGTGAGCTTAAAAACGTGAAGGATCTTCGGTTCTCAATAGCAGGGTTGCCCCATCATTCTGGGAGCCCGGTGCAGTGGATAAGCCACGAAGAATGTGATTGGATTACACCATGGGAAGAATTGGCGTCCAGTCGTAGTTGGAAAAGACTAGATATCGCGGTACCGCGAGCTTGGGTGCCGGAATTTGAGGGAGTGGTACAGCGGAATAGCGAGGTGGAGGAGCAGAGGAGGTATCGACTTGTGGCTGGGAGTCACGATTGGCCTAGGGGGTGGTAGGAAAATTACGAAATGAAAGGAAGCCATGTTGTGAATAGAAGATTTCTTCGCGATTGGATATTATATGAGTATCTGAAGTAAATGAAAGAGGCTATCCAATTTGTCATGAATATTTAATCAAGGAGCCACGCCATATGCTCAAGTTATTACTAATTTGGTATTGTTCAATTTGTTTTCCCGAGAATCATCTGTTCCAAGACAGCCCTTTCGCCACTGTTCTGAACTAGATTCCTGAAGACGCCGCCTTCAATTTCAAGTAGCTCTCGTGGTGGCCCGAACTCTACTGCCTTGCCTGCGTCCATAACGAGGATTCGATCGAAGTCTGCGATCGTGCTGAGTCGATGCGCGATCACGAGTAAGGAGGACTCGTTACGACCGAATTCAGATCGGATTGACCGTTGGATAAGCGTATCAGTCTCCATGTCCACGGCGGACGTAGCTTCGTCGAGGATCATGATCTTAGGTTGTGCGACGATGGCACGGGCGAGACAGAGAAGCTGGCGCTGGCCTTGAGAAAGATTGAGTCCACCCTCGGATATGGGCGAGGCTAGGGAGGTGAAAAAGCTAGGAGGTTTAGAAGGTCCACCAGTAGGTGACATGGGCGTTGATGCTACTGTGTCACTACCGCTGGACGAGCCGTGATAGGATTGAGAGGCGAGTGTAATAGAGTCCTCGAACGAGAGGAGGTGCACGCGTTCCAGCGCGTTGTACAGCTCCGTATCCGTGTACTCATGAAACGGGTCTAGATTGGATCGCACGGTCCCTGAGAATAGAACCGGATCCTGAGGAATGATGGCCAAGCGGCTGCGGAGTGCCTGTAGAGTCATCCTGGATATATCCAGACCATCAATGATGATACGACCTTCTCTAGCTTCTAGAAAGCGGAACAAGGCCAGAGTCAGTGAGGACTTGCCCGCTCCCGTGCGGCCCACGACACCGACTCGCTGGTTGGGCTGCATGTTGAAACTGAGTCCACTCAGGACAGGTGGGAGGTCGGGCGCATAGCTGACTACCAAGTCCTCGACTTCTACGCGCCCCCGCAATGGCCATGCAGCTGGTGGCTCGTAACCTCCTTGGTCTTCCGTTTCGATGGTCGAGTATTCCAGGACGCGCTCCGTGGCGTTCATATCCATCTCCATCTCGGCGTAGAAACGAAGGCCCATGGACACAGCGTAATTATATTGCAGGGCGAAAGTGATTGCAAAACCTGCCAGTGCCGCAGGTATCGTGGGAACATATACAACCAGTGCAGCTGCTCCTGTCGAGAAAATAGCACCCACAATGCTCATCCGAAAGGACAGCCACCTGTTGAAAAGCCAGGAATTCCATACTGTTTGGGCGTGGCGGTCGAGCTTTGAATACATATTCCGGGTGTATACGTCTGCCTTGTTGAACGCACGAACTGTTGTGAGGCCTGTTAGACTTGAATCAAATAGCTCCATGACGGGGCTCTTTGAGTTGCTTTCCAAGCGCTTCAGTTCTCTCGCCCCGGTAAGATATGAATTTGATAGGTAAAGGCAGAAAAGCAATAACAAACAAGCAAATACGAGCAATAGTGGCGAAACGAGAAAACCAGCAACCATGATGCCAGCAAGTTCTAGTGCCTTGTACACAAAATGTCCGAGATCAAAAGCAAGGCGCCAGTCCACTGTGTAGATGTCGGACGTGAACCGGTTCAAGATTCGACCAAGAGGCACCGTATCGAGCCAGCGCATGGGTGCCCGGAGGACGACTGCGAGTAAATCTTGGAACAGTTGACGCGAAGATTGAAGGGATGCATAAGTGAGTGCAAATTGTCGCAGCGCACCGATGACACATGCAGCAGCCGATAAGGCCAGGTAGACTCCGAGATAAAACTTGAGGTCATTGTCGACTCGAACGGCCTTGAATGCGTCTACTGTATCTTCCCACCTTGTCGTTGCCTCCGTCGTGTGGGATACCGGATTGGAACTTGTCCAGAGCCTCACCCACCAGGACTATAAAGTTAGAAAACATGTTCAAAGGACGAGCAGAGATCGTTGACTTACTCGACCGACCAAGAGAGCCATAAAGCTCGCAAACATCAGCATTGTAAATGTCCATGCCAGCCAGCTATTTCCCTTCGTCATATAAGTTGTATACACCTTCATGGGTATCGACCCCGTTGCGCGATCTTCATCCTGCGTAAATTGCCTTGGGGTATGACTTTCAGTTGGAGGTGGAGGGCCAACAGACGAGCGCTTTCTAAAGGAAGCATCCCGTGCAGTCTCCCTGTCTTGTAAATCTCTCATCTCGGCAGTCAACCCCTGAAGGAAATCAGTTAAGCCATGTGCAGCACGCACTTGTTCCACTGTCCCAGCGTGCGTCATGTAGCCATTTTCGAGAAGAACACAATAGTCGGTCCGAGGAAGACACAATCCCACATGATGTGTAACAAGAATCCTGGTGCGATTCTGCGCTAGGTCTCCTGTGAGCCCATGTTCATACACATGGCGCCCAGTTTCGGCATCCAGTGCACTGAAGATATCATCCATCACGAGAATGCCAGCGCGGGAATACAAAGCTCGAGCAAACGAAACTCGCCATCGCTGTCCGCCACTGAGGTTTATGCCATTCGCACCAATATCAGTCATGTCTGCGTCGGGTAGGATCGTGAGGTCCTTCTCCAGCCCTGATGCCTTCAACACCTTCCGGTATCTCCGCCAGTTATACGGTAGACCGAAAAGAATGTTTTGCCGAATAGTTGCATTTTCCATCCACGGGTTCTGTGCTACATATGCTAGGGCTGTATCTATAATCCAATTATCACGGGTAGCTCGATCGTCTTGTCGTTCTTCGAGCGAAGGCGCATGCGGAACTCCTATCGAGCCCTGTATAATGTCGCATTCGCCCAAGATGGCGGCGAGAAGGAGACTCTTTCCAGACCCAGTCCTTCCCGCAATTATACTCAATCCTTTCGGTGGGAATTTCAAGTTCAAGTTGCGGAGAACAAAACTATCATCCATCTCGGTAAGTTTGGGAGTCCCTTCCTCTTGACTGGGCCATGCGATTGTAGCACTTTCGAATGAGATCTCATCGACATTGCTCGTATGGGGCACCTTTTCGGCCGACGCAAGATACTCGTCGATGCGGTCAGAACTGACTTTGGCTTCCATACCTTTGGAGATCAGGTCCGGCAGGCCGGCCATTGCGGACTCCAGGTTTCCAAAAACCGAGAGAGCAGTAAATGCGACCGATGCAGGAAGGTCACCGTACGTCAACGCGTACACAGTCAAAGAGACAGCAGAAAGCATCAGTGGTCCCAGTGTCCAAACCGCCACCAGAGCAGTAGTATAGAGAGAAGTCTTCCACAGAAGATCGAGTTCAAGACGGCGCCTTTCGTTTATCCGATCCTGCCACTGTTGCTCGAGAGCAGCAAACTTGATCTGTCGGATTCCTTGAAGTACTTCAGTCACGGTGGAAGTGCGCTTGTCATTAGCCTTCATGAACTCCTGCTGCGCAGCAGAGTACCGCTTCGTCACGAATGTATTCAAAGGAGTTATCACTATTGACACAGATAATCCAGCCAGAAGACTTTTCCATCCGAGTAAATGAGCCAAGAATGCAGCAGCTAGTAGAAGTCGCATGATGCACGAGGGAATCAGGTAGTTGAACGTTGCAAAATCGGCCACTCGCTTCGAATCTACTGCTGCTAGGTTCATGATGGTCTGGCGACCCTTTTCCTCCTGTGTCTCTTCATCATCGGATGTACTGTCGTCCTTCGTCGATTTCATCCCCTTGGCGTCCTTGCAGCGCATCGATTTGGCGAATATGATAGACGAGAGTCCTTCGTAGATCGGAATCCAAAGCTGCGAAGATATTATCCACCACAACCACGACTCAATACTGTATGACACGACGATCACCACTCCCAAAGCTGCCACCCATAACCACGCGTGAAGGTTATTCCCGAGCGCTACCGAACGCTCCTCTAGTGCCTTCAGTATCCCATACATCGCCACCTGCGGTCCGAAGCCCAACATACAAGTAATCAAGCTGAGCACAGCCTGCCAGATTAGCGGTCGCATGTTACCAAGCACGAGTGCCTTCCACAGTTTGCGGGACTGGCGATTCTGCTCAAGGCGAGTGTATAGATTCTCCGCACGAACGGCAAACGGCAATTTCGGTAGGCTGTCGATATCGAGGCTCTTGTTCTCTGCGGCATACTTCATCAAGTCGTTAACCCAGCTGAAGGTAAATCGACTGTATACACTATACGTGAGCTCTTGATCAACAATTTGTCCATCATGGTACACATTCGGCCGCCTGGGAATTAGAATCGAGCAAAGGCCGCGTAGAAGTGCTGTAACAATTTGGCTGATAAGAAGCCCTGTCTGTGCGTTTCCTGGGTTGACGTCGTAACCGGCTGACCAAAACAGGCTGAGTTCGATGCAGGGGACTGCCACCGTGAGTGCGCTCGTCCAGAACGAATAGATGCTAAGCCGGTATCGCTCTACAGTGGAGGTTTCTGTGAAAAAGGCAACAGATTGCAAGCACAGCAAAGCCTTTGTTCATTAATACCATGATATCATGCCAGCATCAAATGTAGCAGCGGCACTTACCCAGCCTCCCAATAGTAGCCAAAACGGGATAATGAAGTAACTCTGGCCAGTCTCGAGACAGACAATCGCCAGCGCGAGCGACAGTTCTACTCCGACCACCGATAGTATCGCGATCGTTACTCTCTGCCAGGAATCGGCAAAACTAAGCAAGGATGCCTCCGTAGCTTCGCCATCCTCATCTTGATACCCCGGTTTGGCGATTAGCAGCGTCTCCAGGCGTATCGGCTGGGATCTTTTCGACAGCCGATGAACAACATTTAGTGTTGCTGGTGCTGTATTCAAGGCTATCAATAATAACCCGAGAACACCCGTTGTAGCTGACCAAATCTCCGGATTGCCTGTCATTCCTTCTCGACCGTGGAAATCATCCGGATAGTTGTTGAGGAAGAAAGAGAACAGGTAGGCAGGGACAAATTCACA